GGAGCGAGAACTGGTAGCTTTCCAACATGTTTTGTGATACTCTTTAGACTTTTGAGTGGGTCATTCACTGGGTTTGTGCAGGGGAATGAATGTATTTGGAGGAAACCATCGTCTTAACACTCGAATACGGGGTGTTCCCATAATCATATCTGAGGTGTTGCAAGCAACTCTGTGTGGCACTGCGTTTCAACATGAAATCAATCATGTTGCTCTTTTTGTTGGCCACTGGCCCATTTTGGCTAGAGTATCTTTTGCACCAAAAGATTTGACTTTTTTGGGGTTCGGAGAGTTTCAAGATGTTTCATGGGCTTCGTTTGCAACCTATTTTGGCAGTAAATGTATGCAGATGTGCAATATGAAGATGGTTCCCCTTCACCAGCCCATGCTTAAGTATGGGAGAGTGCGAAGCAATGCCAGCGGCTAGCAGTGTCACCCCATTTTTTCTTGTCACCTGCGCTTATCGCCAGCGAAGCCTACTTGAAAACGGATCTTGACTCACATCCCAGATCCAAATTGATTCATCAAACGACCCATTACCATATTTTGGGATGTTTGGGCTTAGCAATTTTGACAGTGGATTGTTCAATGATATTCACGCACCAAACTCTAGACCAATATCAGCTTCAGATTCTGCACATTTTGGTGACTGGAATTGAAATGTTTCGAGGTTTGAGATATCTTTAGATACCCTCTGGTAAACTAACATAACTATGGAAAATCACCATTTTTATTTGGAAAACTCACTATAAATGGCCATTTTCAATAGCTATGTTAAATTACCAGAGGGTATCTTCAACATGGAATGGTTTCGAGAAATTGAACATATTTGCCTCCTCGATGTATATGACATCGAAACCAGTCGTCCAATCTGGTTTTTATGATCTGAGTAGATAAGGTCATACATTTGGAACGATCTCTTCATCACAGAGACCGAGTTCAACATGACTTGCATCGAGTTCGAGCTGCAGGCCAAATCCTTCGAGCCGGTCTTCCAGTCGAGCTTTTGGGTCCAAGAATCCAACCGCACCACTAATTTTCAGCATCCCAAAGTAGAAACAAGAGAATGTGAAGGAAATATAAGGAAATTCGAAGCTTCGTGGATTCCGCCATGTTGAAGAACCCAAAAAAATCCGCCCACTTTCCCTGGTTAACCCCATCAGGCAGCCAACATCTTCACGCGAAATACCGTCCTGGGCACCGGAAAGGTACCGATGCCTTGATTTCGGGGCCTGGGATACCCTGGGATCTATTAGGAGACAGGGATAGAATGGGTGTATTAGGATATATATTTGGGGATATGATGAAAATTATTTTGGAGATATTTTGGGGATATATATATCCGAACAATTCTGAAAATATTTGGGGATATGATGGAATAATGTTGCATATATATATATATAATGGATTGTACTGGAAAAGCTAAGCATAAAGGACCAATACGTAACCAACTAAGATATGCTGGGCTTGAGAATGGGGGTCAACCAGCTGAATGGGGTACCTTTTCTTTTTCAGACAAACCCGTTTACACCAGACTGAGTGAAACCCATTGTCCAGTGTTGACTCAGATTCGTTTTATTTCCAACTTCCTATATTGGAGTGTTCCATAATTAAAATTTGTGTTTAAGAATTTATATAACTGGTTGGTGGTTTCAAACATTTTTTATTTTCCATTTCATATATGGGATGTCATCCTTCCCATTGACTAATATTTTTCAGAGGGGTTGAAACCACCAACCAGATAAAATTGTACATGAAGTACACATATAACATATCACTACGTATGTTCTACACACATACCATGGATGCAATGGTACCTACACCCAGCACTTTGGCGGCACAACTCCCCGCCCCCTTCGCTGTTAAGGTGCAGCTGGCGATGGTGAGACAACGACCAAATCACACCTACAATCGCAAGCAGATCTTTTGAAGCATTCGAAATGAGATGGTGAAACAGTAAAATATAGAGATAATTGAGATAATTATAGTGATAAATAGTGATATATGGATAATTATAGTGATAAATAGTGATATATGGACAATTATGGTGATAAATAGTGATATATGGATAATTATAGTGATAAATAGTGATATATGGAGAATTATAGTGATAAATCACTGGTAAAATATAGATCATCATAGTGACAAATAGGAACGATAGTGAAACATGTTTAAACAATTCTGAACATTGAGATTGGAAAATCATAGTATTGATCCCATCCTAACGGATAACTTTGAAACATACCTAAATTCATTACGGTGTCTTACTGGCGATTTTAATTAGTAGGGAATGGGGAAATTGGATGATTGTGAAAATCGTTTTGGAATGGGATGATTCCCTTCTCTACGTTTAGCAGTGAGTTGTAGGTTGATTGTTCTCAAAACTACTTGCTTAAGGTTACTTTTGAGCATTGTCGTGTGTGTGTGTGTGTTTGTAGAACAAAATTGGATTTCAAGAAATTGGTGACAAAAATGTGTAAAAATGATAATGATGTTATAACTGATGTTATAAACTATATATAACCGTTCTAAATTGTATCCGATTTTGGACGGGCCCCAGAGGGCTCGAAACGCTATGGCACCTGAGCGGAGATGGGAAGGGTCTGGTTATTTGTGTGCCGAACCTGAGTGAAACAGTGTTTTAAGACATGCAAGCCGCCATGGCAACCGTTTCAACCCAAGATTCGAAATTCCAATCTTTGGCGCTTTCAAACCATCACTTGGGATATCTTGGGATGCTTCCAGCTTTGCCTTTTTTCCTCAAATCAACCACTGAAAATCCAATCGGCGTTGCCCCAGGATCCAGCTGACGGTGGAGCACAAATTGACCTCCAAGTTGACGGTCACGGTCTTTTGCTACGGAGATGCGCCATCAGTCGGCGGAGATTTTTGTGTCGGAGACTCTTAATTTCATGATTGATGAACAATACTTGTAGGTATGAATGATGGTTAATGTTGGTTCATAGTTAATGACTTAATGATACTTAATAAACGTTAATGGCCCAGTATGAATTGATGATTGATTTGTATTAATGATGGTTAATGATGATGCTTGATGATGGTGGTAAATGACAGTCGTTTTAATTTTTAGCATATCATGACCTCAATGTGAAGTCACTGGAATGATAGGAAGGGGCAATCATCCCAAACATTGCCATACTCCAGCTATGTCCAGGTTAGTGAAACAACAGTGTGATTCAGCCAGAATAATGATGATGGTTAAATGATTATTAAAATTATAATTATTACTAGTATATATATATATATATATTTATCATATTTTCTCTGTTTGAACTCATGACTCCTAATTACGTGATTTGTGCAGCTTTTGACAAGGTGGTTATGCCATTTGTTTTCATGTTGTGATTCTTCTTGTTGATGTTGCTTCTCTTATTCTCCCTTATTTTACTCACCGTCTTCCCTCGTTGATGTGTGAGTTTGTTTGAAATGGGATACTGGTTGGTGGTTTCAAACATTTTTTCTTTTCCATTTCATATATGGGATGTCATCCTTCCCATTGACTCTAACATTTTTCAAGATGGTTAAAATCACCAACCAGGATATACCCTCTGGTAAACTAACATAGCTATTGAAAATGGCCATAGAAATAGTGATTTTTCCCATTAAACATTCTGATTTTCCATAGTTATGTAAACGTTTACCAGGGGGTAGGTATACGTCCTCCAAAGGTTTTCACGGGAATGGGAATGCCCTGGGCGACCGTTACCTGTCTTTGTCTTCGCGCAGGGTGACAAGCCTCCAGCTCCTGATGGGGCCACCGAAAACAAAGACCGGCTGATTGGTGGTTTGGTGGTTTTTCATGGTGACTTAATGGGGATTAATGGTGGCTTAATGGGCATTAATATGGATTAATGGTGGTTTGGAACATGGCTTTTATGACTTTCCATATATTGAGAATGATTAATCATCCTAACTGACGAACTCCATCATTTTTCAGAGGGGTGGCTCAACCACCAACCAGTTAACTAATGTGCTAAGCGCTGTAATCAGGCTTGCTTTTGGAAGGTGTTTAGATTGTTTATGATTGTTTTTAGTATATTTTTTAGAATGTCAGAGATCACAATTGTTGGGTGTTTTTTTGAAATTGTAATACACAATTACTAGAAACCATCAATCCCAACAATTTTAGAATGTCAGAGATCATAATTGATGGTTTCTAGTAATTGTGTATTTGCCCAAAGATCCCCAAATGGGTTACACAAAACCAGCCCCAACCGATGAGCCACTGAAAGATGGAAGCGTGACAGTGATCGGCCGTAACATGTATTAACTATTTTGAGGTATTATAGGTACCCCTGTTGGTTGATGATTATAGGGGATTATTTAATATTATATATATTGTGGATGTTGTAAGAATCTAGCTGTTTCACTCAAGTGGGTGAGATTAGAAACTGTCGTTGACCTTTGAACTTTTCCTTGGGTCGCGATATGATCACTGTAATTTTGAACTGGGAATAATATAGGGAAGTGCTTCATGGAGGGTGAGCTGACTGGTGAATCGCCAGATATTGGACCAGGTGAAGGAAAAAAACCACGTCACTGTCACTGCGACGTCACTGGAATGATGGTTGGTAGAGGTAACTATCTCCAAAATGTCCCAACATTTCAGGTTTGTGAATTGTTGCAAATCAGCCAGAATCAATGTGAATCTGAAATTGGCAACTGTTTCCTTGAATGTGGGAAAGCCAACAAAATCAACCTATAATTTGGGGACGGTACCACCATTATACCAGCCATAAAAATTGTTATTTTGGGAGGTGGTTTATCATTGGGTGTGCCACATTAATAGATCTTGGGGGTATACTAATCATTTAAATCATTGTACTAATTGTATAATTAAATGGTTAGTATACTGGATTGTACTAATAATACATTGTACGTGTGGTTAGTATACTAACCATTAATACTCTTGGATTATTCTTGCGGGTATACTAACCATTTAAATCATGTTCAGACTACGCTGGTGGCACAGGAGGAAGCAGATGCTCACTTGAACGATCTGACCACGGCCGTCATTGGAGACACAGGCTTGGAGAATTGTTGCATTGGAGCTCGGAAGGAAGGGCTTCATACACCACTTATAATGTGATACTATTGAATGGCATATAATCGATATTATACTATACAATATCCATATGTATAATGTGTATATGTGTGTATAATACTATCTATGTATGCATATATATATATATACTATCTACTATCTACTATATTGTGTATCATAATGTATCAACTATTTAAAAATATACAACATGATGCCTCGTTGATTCTCGATTTTCAAAGGGCTCCTTTGCTGCAGCCGTTGGTTGGCCACGGGGGTTCACCAACGTGCCCAGAAATATCTTGGGGTAGGCATGACCTTCTGAGCCCAGCCAGGGCTTGCATAATTAGTGTCGAACAGCATATAGAATTATATAGATATAATATAATTATAATAAAATATAGAGATATAGAATTATAGAGATATAATCTAATTATAGATATGTAATATAATACAATATACTATAATATATTATATTATAGATGCAAAGTAGATGGAATAAGATGTGACCTGACAACGGCACACAAGATCCAGCATCACAGAAATATGGCGTCTGAAACATGCCCGAAGGTAACAAGAATCAATTCAGACACTTGGCAGTTCGGGCCTGGCTTCATCCACAGGGCGTTGAATGGTGGTTTAATGGATATTTTAATGGGGATATCTGGAAATTAGGGCCCCAAAAAAATGTAGAAAATGATTGGGTAGATTTGGGTAGCTTATTTTCAGACACACCAAACTAGGCAATCTTTCACTTCTCATATCATGCGGATAAACATTTGGCATGATTAATGATGATGTGTACAAGATATAAGGAATACGCTCTGGTAAACTAACACAGCTATGGGAAAACCCCGTTTTGAATTTCTAAATCAATGGTATTAATATTGATCTAGGGAGATTCTATCCAATACAGCTGGTCGGTGGTTTCAAGTATTGAACTTTCCAGCCCAATGTGGGAAGAACTATCCCAGATTTACAAACATCTTTGGAAAGAGTTGAGACCAGACCAACCACCATTGCAGATGGGTTGGCCATCTAAGTACGTTCAAGGGCTGACTTCAGATCCATGGCTTGGAACTTGTGGTCAAAGAGTGTTGAGGAGAGGATGCTCGTGCTACACCTAAATGGACACTACCATAAACTAATAAACATCCATAAACTTCCAAAAAAAGAATTGTTTGTTCATCCATAAACTTCCATTTTCATAAACATCCATAAACTTACCTAGAGGAGGTTTCGGCCAATGGCCACTGTTTTTTCTTCATACGTCACGCTCTTCCGGTGCTGCCATGCGGTCGCCGAGATCAATTCTATCACCTCTTTGTGCAAGTTCATCGCGCGGAGCATTTGGGTGGAGGAGAGAAGACGTTCCTCAGATCGAAGCAGCGAAACATGGGATTTGGGTCGGTAAATTGGGAAGCCCCAAGACTCAAGACCAACAAGATTTTAAAGTTATATTACATTAGTTCTTTTCCTAGTATGGAATAAGACTGTTTGGGGGATCCCCAATATAGAGAAACACCCATGTGATGTTGAATTCATCCCAAGTATATCACCTGTTCACAATTTTACCACCCCAAAACTGGCTCCTTCAGCGCGCTTTCTGCGTTTGGATTGGAGTTTGGGGTCCCAGAATGGTTGGGGTTCCTAAATCATCCATTGATTTGGGGCTGCCACACTTGGAAGTCCTCCAATGTTTGCTGCAAAGATCCTTTCTTATCTTCGATCGTGACCTGGGTCCGAAAAACACAACCAGCTTACAACAAGCTAGTGGAAAATGCATGGCTGCCAAACTTTGGAGCATGCCATGTTTTCACCCCGAAAGATTTCCAGAACATTCCAGAACCAGGTGCAACATTCCATCACTTCCCCGGTCGCTGAGCCGCTAGGTTTAATCCCTATGTCTCAGAAGCTCGGTGAAAGAATTCAGAAAGCGCCTCAAATCGGTTCCGTTGGAATTGCTTTTTGGGGAGGTTACACCATTGACCAACAAAAATTGCTGGGTTAACTCGAGAAACGATGCAAAGTGGGTGGTTTAACCAACAAACAGAGGATATTCTGGGCTAATCAACGGTTGCTTTGTTGTCGTAGCTAGAATTTCAGGGCTCTCCGCACCTGTGGATGGTTCAAGCCTGGGAGCGTAGGTCTCATTCTGTGGACATCCGAGTCTTCCAAGTCATCTCACTCCCTCCAGATCCATTTTGAGGTGATCTCAATTCAATGGGTCTTTAGAAAAACGCCGCATTGCCTTTCTGTCCCAAAAGATTGGTGGTATGGTGGTGTTGTTTAGGCTTTGATTTGGAGTTTCATCACTTCATTTCATCCCTGATTCAGTGGATTTCGTATGCGCTACTGACCCAACATATTTGACGTATTCAGAAGGTCTGACAAGACCTGGCTAGTCACATCCGAACACTGGCTATTCATGCTAGCAGGTTTTTGGCCGACACGCAGCTGTCAAAATCACTGGGTATTTACTTGGCATCGACTGTATTTGTTTGTTACATTTCACTCATGATGGGGATGTGAACGAACAAGAATTGGTTTCAGCCATGTTCAAAATAAAGCTTAAAAACAAAATGTGCCTGTGGGTTTGTCTGAAAATGGAGTATACCCCCAATCAATCCCAAGTATGGCAATCTATTTTTCATGCGGCAAATTTTGGAGCTGGTTCTCCTGGAAAATCTTTAGGTTATGGAAAATCACGATTTTTGATGGCTAAGTCAACTATAAATGGCAACCTTCAATAGCTATATTAGTTTACCAGAGGGTAACTATAGCCTGAACATACGTCTTCACCAAGCCATACAGGTTGAGTTCAATGGGCACGAACTGCGGACCCCTGCGGCGCGGGATACGCATACCTTAGCAGCGTGGCAGGGATTGGAAATCAATGGAAACCTCTAGAAATTGATCATGGATTCAGTGGATAGTCAATGGAAAACTGAAGGAACCCAATGGAAAGTTCCTTGGGAAGTTCCTTATAAAAAAATCTAAAAGCAACCAAGATTTTACCAACAGAATGGACTTCAACAATGTTGAGCTAATCCCAAAAGAGTACCAACTGGCTTATAAGTCTCTAGATCCATGTACAACCTCAAGGATCATCTAAATGGGCTATGCAGAACTTGGGCATGTACCCTCCAGAAGTACTTACAGATGGTTCTCCTCCTAAAGATAGGGATACCTCCTTGCCATGCTAGGTTGGCAGAAGGTAACGCAATAATCATACTAGTAGTAAATAGTAATAATTTGACAAAATTACTAATAGATTCATATTGTCAAGGAGTAGTCAATTTAAAACTGTGTGCCATACAATAATTGTTGAGGACCTTCAAAATCAATATCATTGTTTGGTACCATGTTTCGGACGTTGTGTAAATTCAAGATCGGGTGGCCCTTCCAACTTCGCAAGAATGGGTCTTTTTAGGAAGGAAATATGATGTGGGATTCAAAGATCTTGAAAATCATTTCAATCCAAACGCCAAATGGTCAAAACATGTTCCACTTGTTGTCAGTATTCTAAACACATTGCGAACATTTTCGAGCATCCAATGACTCAGCGACCCTCCAAACACCAGCAAAGGCCTTCGATGAGCAGTTCCGAATTCCGGTGACCACTCCTCTCTTCCAGGACTCCATTGTCACCTGGTGAGAGAAGACCTGATGCAGTGAAGGTAAATAGTTGGTAAATGGTTTCCTGGCTGGTGAATTGGTTGATTATGAACGGTACAGTAGAATCGTCACATATATAATATATATATATATATTATCGAAGGATTAAATCCTATTTTTTAAGGATTTCAACATATTTCAAGTGTGAAAAAACACGGTTTTTCGCTGGCGATTTCCCGGAACCCCAGGTGATTCGCATCTGGGACTCTGGAAAGTGGATGCGCGACGAGATCATCGTGCAGGGCAGATTGTCCTTCTCCTTGCTGCGTTACTCGGCCATACTCGGCCCATGTTTTTCTTCGGAGGGATATAGGATATGACATGAAAACCCATGGTTTCTGGGGGATAGAATTATAGTGAATGGATGGTAATGGACTTTATGAACCAATGGGGGATCCCCACCAAGTCACCATGGGTTTCAATAGTCATGGTCATTCATGACGACTGGATGATTTGGGGGCAAGCCTACTTTAGGAAACGTCCACATATATAGAATTATGTTACATCCAAGTTCTATTTTCTATAGGAATGAAGTTTGATCATTGCACTGCTACTATCAATGATAATGATGATTATATCTTGTGATTATCGTGTGTTGTTGTTATTACTGTTATGATTATTACTAGAATTATGGTTATTGTCAGATATTATCACGAATATCATCATTATATTGAGCATTATCACGATTATCATCATTATAAGTATCGTGTGTATTATTACAGTATTATGATTATGGGTTTAGTGTTCCTATTCTGATGGTTACAGTTGTCAGTGTTACAATGTGTTGTCAATGTGTTCAATGTGTTCAGCTTTCAATGGTTTCAAGAACTTAAAGTTGTTTGGGCGAGATCCCTTCAAATTGATGGTCCATGTGTTTTTTTGGGGTAAAACTGGGGAAACAACTATGAAATTATATGGCTGATGGGGGTCTATTTCATGCTACACTTCTAGGTTCTACAACAGGTGTTGAGGTCAAACCGCTGAGGCTGAAAACAGGGGCAAAAACAACCAACTAGATTGTGCAAGTATGTTGGGAACTTACCTGCAAGCCCATTGCTTTATATCGTTTTCACAAGGTGTTGAGTGAAGAGCTTCCAGGTGATTCATCTTCAAAGAATCTGGGAATGGGTGTCTATATTTGCAGCCATGGGCTATTTGGCAAACTGATAAATCACCGAATTCATGCAGCTCCCATCCACATGCCCATCATAGCCGGGGGTTCGTGCTGCTTCCAAACATGAGCCCCTCACGCATTGCCGAAAATGACACGTGCCCATGCTCACCTGGCTGGTAGGAATGCATGCCATGTCGCCCAAATGGTTTAACTTCTATGGCTTCAAGAGTGAGGAGGTGCTCATCATCCAATCGGGGAAGTTTGGGTGGACACATCAGGCCTTCCAAAAGCTCATAGCTATGTGTGTTGGGTCTATCATAGAAGATGGAAGTGCCATTTTATACAAGCCTGAAACTTGAGCATGACCTTCAAAAATTGAATGAAATGTTTATTCCAACCACTATAATGTATACTATATATATATATCACTTCAAACTTCAAACTTGTGGTTTTGCTGTCTTTTTCCGGCCGCATGAATCTCAGCAAGTGTTTGTTTCCGGCATGTATTTCCATAGTCAAAACAAGGGGATACCATGTGATATCCCTATTTATGGCCATTGACTCGTGAAACTGATGATCAACCAGTATCAACAATCCAATTTGTGGAGCAGGTAGATGCCCCACGTCCAGATACACCAATGGCCATGTTCAAGTTTTAATGGTTTCGCCATGGGTATGGATACCCCCAAGATGGGGACAATCGCATTAAAATGTCCCTCCAAATGGCAATTTCAATGCGGAAAATACATGAAAATACATGAAAACATGCTCCGAAACCCGTTAGAACGAGGGACAACACGATTCTTTTTGGATCGTGTGTTCTGTACTTGATGGGCTTTGTATCTTTTTTTTGATAGTATAGAAACATGCCGTACCATATTTTTGTTTGATACCCTTTGGTGATTTAACATAACTATGGAAATCACCATGTCTTATTTATAGGTAGATGATCTATAAATCTGGGTAAATTATAATGACCTCACTCTTCTCCCTCACTGGAATGATGGTTAGTGAGGAAGACTATTCCAAAATAGCCCAACATTTCAGGTTAGCGACATATTATAATTGACCCAGATAAATGGGCCGTTTTTCCATGGCGTTTCCATCGTTTCCCCTGGGAAAAGTGGCTGAAAGGTGCCTGACGTGCAAGCCATCACCAGTAGTGGCGAAGTGGCCGAAGAGAATGCCTACTTGGGGCGTTTCTTGAGAGATCATGATGGGATCCATGGGAATACATGTCTGTATATATATATAATGATGTATATGATGTAGAAGGATAGATAGATATGATTTGATTTCATGTACTTATATATATATATGTGTGTGTACATGTGTAACATACACATATACATCTGCGATATGTTTGTATGTATACGGATAAGATATACATATGCGGTCATATACATGATGCCAAGGTCCGCAACATGTCCGCAACATGTGAGTAGGCAGCAACAACGGATCGGTTGAACAGGGTACCACTGGGTTGTGCATTCCAGGCATCATTTAAATATGTGATAATCATATGAAATAGCCCAGTTATACATACGTTATATATAGGGGTTATATATATTATATAGGGCTAAAAAAAAACACATACCAACTGGGATGCACATCCAAGTAGTGAGGCTTGGACTTGCTATTCCAATGTTTAGCTGATTCAATACCATGAATCGATACTTCCCAAACCACTAATATATTTGACATACTTGGCTTATGAACTGCGATGTGTGTATAGATCTGTCCATGTTTTGGAGATATCATGCAATATCAAAAGATACTGTGGATGGAAGAAATCCTGTACCACCTCGGATGGTTGAAACCCTATAAATAATGGAATTTTGCCCATCTATCAACTGGTGACAATATCAAACAACGCATTGGACATCCCTAAGCTGCCCTTGGTTTTTGTTTGCTGACCTTGTGAGGCTTGCTGATCAGTGCACGAGTAAACAAGGCGGGGGAGTTTGCTAGGGTGCACTCGCCAAGCTGGTTTATAGCTAGGTGAATTATGATTTTTTTTGGTAAATATAGCTATAGGAAATGCGGGTAGAAACCCATTTATAACTGGGCCACCGGCCCACCTAGTGTTTTAAACACCAAACCTGAGTCTATTTTTGGAGCAGAAGGGATCTACGATCAAAGGGAATGGCTCACATGATTTTTTTACCCTCTGGTAAACGTTTACATAGCGAACTAGAAAGATCCACCATGTTTTGATGGGAAAATCCACTATTTCGACTGGGCCATTTTCAATAGCAAACTGTTAGTCATTACCAGAGGGTACCCTGTTTAGCACCTAATTTTGGAACCAGCTGGTTTCCAGAAAATTGTTTCGAACTGAAGCCACCCAAAGAAACCAAAAATTTTTGAGTGGTTCACTCAGTGCTTTACCTGATCTTTTTGTTGCTGCAACCCATTGGTTGGCCAGGTTGAATCCATGGCTGCGCAGCAACTCCCAGCAGTTATGAGGCGCAAGATGATGCATCAAAAATAGCTATCCAACAACTATGGTCAAAACATGTTTTCATAATCTCCAATTAATATTGGAACGTTGAACTTATTTTTTGTATCCCATTGTATCCCTATGATATCCAAATACATCCCATGAGATCCCAGCTATTCTCGACCAGGGGAGGACCCTGCGAGGAACCGCCCTCCACAGTTCAGAATTTCCTGTTCCTTGGAGCGATGGCGTATCCAACATGAAAAATGGGGACAGTGATGGGTTAATGGGCCAATGGGTCAGATATTGGCATTCATATAGGGAAAAAATAATCGGATAATATCGGATATATAACCAACTTATCAACTTCAATGATTTTGGATACAACATTGGATACATAATGATAATGGAAGATATTGGATACACAACCAACTTAAATCATCTTAAATCAACTTAATATCTTCATGGTGCTTCAACATGATTCAACCAACATCGACCTTCGCCGAAGGTGGTGCCCGAAACTTTCGTTCGGAGGTTCAACCAACCTGGCGAATCTGGATGATTCCGCAACCATGGCCTTTGTGCAACAGTGTTTTTTTTTAGGTATTGGTTTGTGGATTCACACAGTAAGTTGATCTATACATATATATATATCTTAATTATAACACCATCGGTTTGTGCAACAGTACAATTATATATATATATATTATATATATCATATACATTGTAAATAAGTAAGTTGATCCTGTCACACCAAGTTGATTTGGCATACATTTGGCATACATTTGGCATACATTTGGCATACATGCTCAATTCAGATTGTTCCCCTGAGAATCCGATATTTCCCAAGGTTTGATGAAAGCGTATCAAACTCAGTGACCAATTTTGATCATGGTTGTAACCTCCTTCCGCATCATAATGTCCTTTATCATTGCTGCACTGCTGGTGTAATAGATGATACAATGTCTACACATGTATACTCTGCATATATATATATAATTATATACATATACATATATATATATATACTGTGTATATGTATATATATATATATTATATATATATACACATCCCCGATATTGGCAACATTGAGTAGATATGAGTAGATCTATCAGATATGTTTTCTATACTGCTGTGGGCGATTCCGACATTCAAACGGGGCCGCCTTTTGGTCCTGATCTCAGGATGGATGTCTTCGAAGTGTCCGGTTGCGCTGGTAGCGAGGTCCGAGATCAAGGACCGTAAAATCAATGGAGGAATATCATCCCATGTGTCATAGTTATTGTCCTAAAAACACCCCATCTCTCAGATTAGGCGTGTTGCAGTTGTTGTTTTGTTTGGAAAAGTGATTCATCGTCACATTCTGTAGGGAACCACTGACATTTTTGTAGAGAACCTTCAACCAGTATCGAAGGAAGCAGTTGCAGTGTGGGCTATGGATTCCATTTTCTAGTCGATTCTCTCAATGGATTGGTTTTTTCGGGAAAATTTTAACAGGAAAGTCCCATATAAAAAATGGGAAAATCGATGGTTTCCGGTTAAGATTTTCCCTTAAACCAATCCATTGATTCTCTTGTATACTTGCGGAAACCAGCAAGTGAACTGTTGGGTATCTTGCGGAAAATGCCATTGAAAATTGAGCCTACTTTGGGCATATGGTTTGCAAACAGACGTAGACTAGATTAGATTTAATCTAAACAAATAGACCGACAGAGACAAACGAAACATATTTAAAATACATCTGACATGATGTGTGTAATTATAAAATACATCAAACTACTCAAGCGAATTCTGTTTTCATCCCAATTCCTAATACAATATATGCGTAATTCTACGTATACAGTATATGTATATATATATATACAACTATACATAATATATATATATATATAACTATACATATATATATATATATATAACTATATATATATAACTATATCTACATATACATATATATATATACATATATATATATATAATATTAGTAACGGGCTGAATGGTATCCGCATCACAGGTGATGCTGGAGATGGCCATCGGAACCAAGTCCAAGAAGACCAAGACAGCCTCGCGGAGTTGCTGGGTGCGATGCGAAATCTATGGGGAAATCCATGGGGAAACCGACCAAGATTTGGGTTTTTAGAGCCATTTGGGTTACTGGATGAGCAGATTTTCTACCAGAGTTGATGGCAAAAAATAGGGGAGACAAAATCAGAGAAACCCGGGCCTCCTTTGGGTGAAGGTAAGCAGAAGCCACCATGGAGTTTGAAAGCAGCAAGTTGGATGTAAAGCAATACTAATTTGCATGGGATCATCCATGAGATGGGGGGAAACATGGGGGAACAAAGACCAGGTCTTGATGATGGGTGAAATGAGCTTGCAAAATAGTAAATAGTTGCAACAATGCCTTGAAGAAGAATGCCAGATGCCTCATTCCTATTGTGGATGTTGTGGCTAGGACTCGTCATGCCAATTAAGTCTAGCTAAGGGTACTGACCACAAATCCTGGGCCTTCCCATTTCATGATGAGGCCTGGGAAGATGAAACATTCAGGCGTTATTCATACTGACCTGCCTGCGGGCTTCGAATGTTTCAAGTAGTTCTTGTTTTTCATCCGTGAAATCGTGAATTTGGGAGGCTGAACATGTGTGTTTCTCTGAACATACCCATTTTTATCATCATGTTTATCCATGTCAATCCATTGATTCACCACCATGTTCCTTATATTAATGTTGGTAAAAATGGGGGGGTTCAATCGATGAATTTCCAAGGCAAAGAATCCGATGCAGATCCGGCGACAGCTGGACGTTTTCTCTTCCAAAGTGCGCCCCGGGTGCGGCGAAGATATTTTTTCTGTGACCCATGGTAAAAAGATCACATTTTTTGAAATATATATATATATATATGTGTGTGTGTGTGTGTATCATATCAATGGGCCAGTTTCCGCTATGTTGAAGAACCAGAAGGTATTGAAAAACTGTCAAATGTGGGAATAAGAATTGATATCATTAGGATATCATGGGATATGACCAGAAGTTCTCCACGGTAAATCGTGCTTAGGGCCTAAAGGGTGGCTGAACATGGCTAAATGGCGATATGCAATCCTCACAATTCCTCACAATTCCTCACAATCCTCAGCTAGACAAGATAAGCCATATGCTCAGCAATGTTCAGCATATCGCCATTTAGCCATGCAATAGATCTATTGATCCTCAGCCATATGCGATTGTGGGTGGCTTATCTATTGCAGGGGATCAAGATAAGCCATATGCTGAGGTGACAGATTAAAATTGGAATACCAGTGGCTCGACGTGTAGCCTGGGGCTATACTAGCAGACTACATAGGGTCAAAAAGATGCCCTGATCCATGACCCTCCATCTAGCTTTGAGTGATTTTTTAGGTCATTTGTGTTTGGCATGAAGTGGAATTGTGATGAATTGTGCTTTTGTGCTTTTGTCCAAAAATAGGGAATGCCATGGCCACTAGAAGAGAGAAAACTTATCTGGTTGGTGGTTTGGAACATGTTTTATTTTCCATAATGTATGGGATAATCCTTCCCATTGACTTTCATATTTTTCAAGATGCTTAAAACCACCAACCAGTTATGATAAACCATCATTTAGTCGTGGACTCTCCCATTTCTAGACCAAAATGATGATCAAGCTGATCAAGGATGGTGTTTCAAACCATGGTTCTAGACATCGCCAGGCAACAAGGGGCGCATGACGCCTTTGGTCAGTGTGCTGCCCACCAATCCTCCAGCCCTTTGGTGCCGCACCAATTTATCCTGGATATAAAAATCCATCAACTGGAAATGGAAAATTTATCATTTGTCATGCCTCGAAAATGATAAACATGGTGCTGCAGAATTTTCTCATCAAAAACGGGGGATTTGAAAATGTACAGATCAAAAATGGGTGTTCAAGAATCAAAACAAGCGATTTGTCTCGCAATGGGCATCTCCCTGATTTCCCGGCAATCAATCTTGTGTCATCAAACGTGGCAGTGGAACCCCATATACATTGAGGTTTTACTGGGAAAATCACATTATCAATTATGATTCTTTGATTCAACTATATCACTATCAACTAAGATTCAATCCTTCTATCACCAAATTTTGTGTCACAACTCTTTCACTTAATCCCCAGCTAGCTGTCAGTGGATCAAATTATGATTGATTGATTGTGAGTTGAAGAATGGTAATCTGTTTGAACCAACCAATACCGGCGCGGAGCGAAAATACCTTGGTATCCCCGACATATGATGAATCAAGATCTTCACCAGATGATGTTCAATAGCCATACTTGGATGTGCATCCCACGAATCGGATCCGTGGTTTATAATCCAGATGTAAGCCATACTTCATCCATCTTCATCCCTCTTTGGGAATAGTCCATGAATCTAACTGGGGGTATAGTAGAAGCCATTACCGTACACCCAGGAACAGCTTGACGTGATCCTCTCCTTGTACTCGCGCACCACGGGCTACGTCACCGATGCGGACTGGCAACGCATCGGCTTCTGTCGCCTGAAGGTGGCTAAAAGTCATGGGCTTGGCAGAACCACAAGCTGTTCATATCAAGGGCTGTGTAATCTATTTGAAGTGGGTTAGTAAATGTGGGTTATAAGCGCATATCTATCTACATATAATAAGATTAATATACATACACTGAATTTCACTGAATCATATGTATATATAGAATTTATGCATTTATGTTATTGCTATATGTTTAGATACATGTTAGTGTATATATATATATATACTGTATATATGTATTATAATTTTGTGTGTATATATGTTGATATATGTGTATAGATGTATATATATATATATATGTGTATATATATATATATTATGTTTATATATCTATACATCTTATTATATATAGGGTGTATTAGGGTGTTATATATGTGTTAATATATACATATGTTGATATATATATATATATATTAATGTATGTAAATATATTTTGTATTGTTATTACCTTTATTGTGACTGGTTGTTTTTATTGGTGTTACTATTATTATGTGTATATATATATGCATATTTTAGTATATCTATATATGCATATGATGAATGTTTGCCGGATGTTCCACTGCATGCTGGGGTTCGAAAATCATGAATTAGTAAGCCATTGAAATGAAGCGGTATCATGGGGTGTAATGGAACCAATATGGTCGGAGGAGCTGAGTCTCGAGTGGAGGTTCATTTGGTAAGAATGACAATCGTTGCTCAGGTAGTAAACCTTCCCATACCTTCCCATTTGCAGAATGAGGCGTGCCAAAAGGTGTTCTCTATCTGACTCTATCTCTTTTTTCTTTCCGTAGCCTTGGGATACTTCCAAATAGTTGGCAAACTTCGTCCCTTAAAAACTTGGGATAACATGGGATAACCAGTGGCTCAAACTTCCGTCCTTCCGTCCTTCCCCAAAAAGACGTCGCAACCCGCAGCGTCTTGTGCCGAAAGCGCCAGGTGAGAGAGATTCGAGAATGGGAGGGAGACACGCAGACGCTTCGCTGAACGCTGCAACGGTGCAACGGTGTTGTGGGTTTAAAGGGGATATCTATGGGATATATATGGATGATGTATGATGGGGATATTTAGTAGGATATCATATAGTGGGCATACTGGGATAATATGGGGATATAATTGGATGTATCCCACTAACAATATCATATTTGGCTGTGTGTGAAAATGAGGAAACGTCACATTTTGATGAGGAAAGCCATGGAATTTTGAGGTGTTCCCCTAATTTTCCACATGCATCCATATGCATCCAAGTATATATATATACACATACATATGGGGGTCTTATAAGTCATTGGGGACCCCAGAGTATAGGTCATGTTGTTCATGGGGAATGGAAACCAATGCTTTTGGGGCACTCTAATTTTGGGAAATGCCCTTATGATGAACACGATGAACAACACACTGTTTACAGGATACAATCTAACTATCAATACTGATATGTTTGTACGGATTTATTGCTAATCCAAAGAATTCTTACAGCATTGTTTTCCCCATCCTTGTGATCAACCCCCGGTTAAACGTATATTGGACGATATTGGAGGTTTGATAGGGCTGAATCATTAAGTAACAACATCCTCTGGGTGTGTTCAACGCTCTAACCCTGCCTGCTTGTTTGTGGAGTTTTTTCATGGAGTGACTTCTAGACTTACAGTGGTCCCTAAAAAGATCAAGTATAAAAATACAACTTTTTCAGGATGCTCTAGATGATACATACCTCATTTATTTTTTAGATCTCCAACTTGTCCATCTTTGGTTTTGGGATGACAAAAACCATTTTTCTTGGTCAAACCACCAACTATGTTTGTCGCTCGTTTTTGTTGATCCCTTCAGGATCTCGTTCGGTGACGTGAGCCAAGGACACCCCTTTGGTGTGCCATGAGCAACATGGCACATTTGCCGAGCAGCGTCGAACCAGGCACGCCGAGTTGAGCAATTTTTGGCCCATGGCGCCATCCATAGGCCGCCAATTTTTTTGATGCCTAGACAAGATTCCGGTGACATCCATGATTTTTGGGTCAGGGCTGAGGGGCCAGCTTAGAAAATGAAAACAATTAACCCTGGAGTTTGCATGAGTTTCCCACTGTTCGCTGCGGAGAATGACATGATTTCAAGTTCAAGCACCGATCGAACTTCCATGGGGTCTCAATTATTCATGTTCATTCATGTTCAATAGGAACCTCGTATGATCTTTTTGTTAGGTGTTCACGAATTCTCCTGGAATTTGCCATAGAACTCATATATATATATATTATATATATTATATATATTATGTGAAATCACAAGGCAGCCTGTTGTCTCTCTGTTGCAGCTGTTGCTGTACGCGCCTTTTGTCTGTTGGCATACAAAGGCCTGGCTCAAGGCCTTGTTGATCCAAGATGTTGCCAGGAACATCCAGTGACATGTTGGAACTGTACATGAACGTGTGTTGGACAATGTTGCTACTTAACACGGCCCCTCAATTTGTTGGAGCTTCCAACACATTGCACAAAACAAACATTGTTGAAACGCAATCACATTATGTAGTTTATATGTTGGGTCTTCCAACCTGTACACTTTACACTACTAAGGTGTTGACAGAAGAATGTTGTCTAACGGTGCTAGTATACAAACTATCTGTCGAAACTCTCAGTTGTTGGTTTCCCTGTTGCACTCATCTCTGTTGATTTAGGGTGTTGAACCCAGGGATGTTGCAGTTTCACCCCAGACTGTTGTTTCTGGTGTCAGTCTCACCCATCGTTGGATGTTGTTCATCCTTCCATTTGCTGGTCCTCTTCCATTGTTCCACCATGATAGTTGTTGAACTCTTCCACAAAGCGCCCAAAGTTGGTGCTGCTGTTGATGTACTCGAGGACCGCAATGTTGCCTCTGAGCCTTTCAGGAGTTTTCGATCCCCAGTAGGGAATCTGCACTCCCTGTTGCAATGGATGTTGCCCTTCAAGGATCTGACCCAAATGGTGTTGGATCTCCATGGGCATTTTGCTGCAAGCTTGGAAGCCCGTGTATTCGAGGGCGTTTACCAAGGCTGCAAACCATCCATGTTGAGGTCCAGTGACCTGTTGACCGCTCGGGACAAGAGACCCATGTTGCTCATGGTGATCTTTGGGATCACCGGCACCGTTGGCGCACCTGCCACATGGATGTTGAGGAGTGTTGCCATCCTCAACGTCAAAGGTGTTCGCTTCGTCCACCGATGTTGGAGCAAAACGACTGCTGAGGTCAAACAAAAAAATGTTGACATCCAAAAGGCTGCACGTCAAACTGTTGAATTCTTCAAACCTTGCAAAACAAAATGTTGTCATACACGTCCACAATCATGTTGGATCCGTCATGTTGAAGAGGTATATGACATAGAGATCACGTTGAAATACTGTGTGAGTATCTTGTTCATATACTCCATGTTGAAGTATAGGGGATCACTATGGGGTAGTTCATGTTGTCAACCTTTGTTGACACCATGGCTCAAAAGTATGTATGTTTGTGTGTGCATGCCACGCACGATGTTCGCACGTTTTGCACGCGCTCGCACATTAACACGCATGCTGCAGTGAAACTGTTGTTGTTGCTTGTTGTTGTTTGCTCAGTGACGCTGGGTGCTGATGCCAACATCACTGATGTGACGCAAAAGCGTCTCTGTCGCGACGTACTTGGTGAAAATGTCGGCCGGGTTATTGGTCGTGTTGATCTTGACAATCCTCACAAGATCGTGTGCGACCAGTTGTTGTATGAAAAGGTGCTTGAGCTCGATATGTTTGGCTTTCTTTGATGCTCCAATCCTGGTTGCCATGCTCTTTCCGCTTGATGAGTCGGTGTGTATGCGGATGTTGATCTTCTTCATGTTGAGAGCTTCCTTCAGGAAATTGCTGATGTGGAGTGCTTCTGTTGCTCCTGTGTTGATCGCGTAGAGTTCTGCTTCCGCGCTGCTCAGCGCGATTGTTGCCTGCGTCCTGCTTCCGTAGTGGATTGTTGCGCCGAAGACTTTGACTAGAAATCCTGTTGTTGACTTCCTCGTTGTCGCGCATCCTGCCCAGTCGCTGTCGACAAAGACTTCGATGTCTGGTACTGCTTCAGCTGTTGGTGTCTTGGTTGTTGGTCTTATGTATTGTTTGTAGTGTTGTGTTCCCTTGATGTACCTGAGCAAGTGTTTCAATTTCTGCTGGTCTGCTGTTGTTGGCTGTGTCAGTGCTCTTGCAAGCTCCTTTGTTGCAAAGCCAATGTCTGGTCTTGTGTAGGTCATCCATTGTAGCTTGCCAACCATTCTTCGGTAGGCTGCATGTTCTTCTTTGTTGAGTTCTTGCTCCATCTCTGATGTTGCTTTCAGAGTGTTGGTGCCTGGTGCTGGTGCTGGATTGCAGTTGAGCATGTTGGCTTCTTCTAACAGCTCTGTTGTGTAGCTGTCCGCGAGACTGATCTCATAGTAGTCACCTTTGTTGCAGATGTTTCTGCCCAGAAAGCTGATGGTGTTGCCGACTGTGAGTTCTCCTGTAGGACGTAGTAGAAGGTGTTGCTGAATGCTCTTGAACAGCTTGTTGACCGTCTCCTGTTGTCCAATGAAGAGCAAGTCGTCGACGTAGCATAGTATGTAGGCATCTCCTCCAGGTGTTGCGTAAACGTTGGGCTCGCTGACAAGTCGTCGTAGTCCAAGTTGTTGCATCACCTCTGCTAGGTGATTTTGCCATGCTTTTGGGCTGCTGCGTAAGCCATAGATGGCTTTGTTGAGTCTCCAAACGATCTGGTCGAAGGCGTTGTAGAACTCTGCTGGTGGATACATGAAAAGATCTGCTGTTGCTGCTGCTGCATGTAGAAAGGCTGTTGAAATGTCTCCTGTGAGACAAATCCAGTTGTTGCAAAGTGCCAAGACGAGTAGCATCCTCAGAACGCAGAAGATTGGTGTTGACGCGAAGATGTCGTCGTTGTCATTGATCTCCTCTGTGTAGCCCTTTGCTACAATTCGTGCTCGAACTGTGTTGCCTTTCTGTCGAAGAACCCATCTTGATTTGATGATCTTCTTGCGTTGTTCTGGTGTAAGTTGGCTTATGTGTACCTCTGTGTACACTCCTTGTTCCTTCATTGACTTGATTTCTTGCTTCATTCCTTCCGTTGCTTGTTCTTTTTCTAAACCTTCGGTGTTGCTCACCCAAGGTTCCAGGAGAATCTTTTCAGCTTGTATCTCCTGTTCATCTTCGTTGGAGGTTGCTTCTATCTTCTGTCCTTTCCTCGTTGTGACTGTGACTTGTGATATCCTCATCCTTGTTGTTGGTGGCTCCTGAGCTGTGTCAGGTCGGCTGGCTGCTGTGGCTCTTTCTGTTGTCCTTGCTTGCTTTGGTGAGCTGCCTTGTGTAATCTCATCTGTTACTTCTCTTTTGCTTTGTGTTGGCATTGGAAGTGCTTGCTTTGCTTGCTGTGTTGCTGGCGCTGTTGCCATTGGAAGGTCCGTAAGTGCTGGTGGTGGTGTAGCGTGTGGTTGTACCATGGCTTTTGGTTGTGGACTCTGCTGAGTCTGTGTGCTTGTTGTTGTCTGCTGCTTTGCTGCAGCAGGTTGTGGTAGTACCACAATGCTTGGTGTTGTTGGTGGTATCATGGCTGGCGAAGAGTTGATGATGTCCATCAACTGCTTGTTGTACTTGTCTGGCTTGATTTGTCTTCGAATGGTCCTTGCTTTGACCACTTTGTTGCTGATGCCAAGTATGTTCTCGTTTGTTGAGTTGTCCTTACCTAGCCAGATGGCTGGGTAGAACCTTGCTTCCATCTTTGGCATCTGCTTTGCTGTTGGTAGCATGTAGAGAACTGTTTCACCAAATTCACATATTGGTGTTTTGTGTTCTTTGCCCCATCGTCTATAGTAGCTTGTGTTTCCATCTGAGTGAATGGAATACCTGTTGAGCAGGTATGCTGCGTGTTTGACGAGCCACGGCATGATGGGATGCTTGCTGTTGAGCTTGATGCCATAGTTGGTCTCCAGTTGGAGTTTGAGAGCTCTGACTTGGCCCATCAATGTTCTGTGGAAACGTTCAACGCTTCCTTGTGCTTGTGATGTGTAGGCTGGTGCTTGCCTGACTGCTATGTTGCTACCCATGGCTGTTGCCACCATCTTGAGCAAGGTGATGATAAAGTCTTCCTGGTCTGATTGAAGAACGGTGTTGTTGAGAATTGCATGTGTTCTGCCACATTCCATGAGGAATTGTTGAAGGCAAACTGACAGGTATTGTACGTGTTGTGTCTTGTCCTCAAGTTGGACTGCCATACACATGCCTGTTTCAACGTCCACTGCTGTAAGGACTGATGTTGTTTGCTTTTCTCCTAGTGCTTTGTAGTACATCAGATCCACTTGGATCACTGGTGTTTTGCTTGTTTGCTTTGGATGGTTGTCCTGTCTTCCTTTGCTTTGTACACATGTTGGACACCAGCTTCTGTAGGGAAGGTGTGTGAGCTCGTGTTCTCTTCTTTCTTGTTCTGTTGGTTGCTGAGGTGTTGGCACTCCTTTTGCTCTCTTAGCTTCTTGTTGCTCCTCTGGCTCATCTGTGATGAACTCATCTTTGTATGCTGCGTTTTCTTCAAAATTTGTTGAGCCTGTCCACTCTATGTCGAGTGTTGCTCTCCTCTTTGTCGTCCAGTCATCATCTATTCTATATCCTCTGTTGCCACTTGTTGGCTTCACAATTGTTTGTCTCCATGTTGTCAGTCTTGTCACGTCTGGTCCATCATCTGCTTGTTGTGGAATGTACATGTCCCTTCTTGGTTGGACATGCACACGTTTCCAATATGGACCTTCTTTGATCCAATAGTCCTGTGTTGGACTGACTTCCTTTGGATGTGGAATTGCTGTTTGATATGGCTGCGTTGCGGTCATTGCTTGGTCTGTTGGCCTTACCTCTGTGAGAGGCTTCTTCACGTTGTGTCGATACATTGGTGCTTGTGGTTGGTCGGCTGTGGTTTGTTGAGATGGTGTCGCTGGCTCTTTGGCTGGTGGAAGTGCTGGTTGTGGTGGTATGTTGCCTGCAAGTACTGTTCCACGTTTCACTTTGAACCATGTTTCTCCTGTCCAGTTGTTTCCTTGTATGATCCTCTTCTGTTGCTTCTTGTCGAGGTCTTGGTATGCTTCTTCGATGACCTCTGTGTTGTTGTTCGGTCTTTGTATGATTGTTCTTCTGTAGTTCTCCAACCTTTCTGTTGGAACTGGACATCTACTGTCTGGCATGAACAATGCCTTGCGTGTTGTCCTGTGGACTCTTACCAAGAAACCTTGGCTGTTGAACGTCCATAGGTCATTCTTGTTGCGAAGGATTTCCATGCCTGTTGGTGTCAGTGTGACTGGTGCTATTTTTGCTGTTGTTCCTTCTGCTGTCTGGCTGACTTCAAGTCTCAAGTTGGCTGGAAGTGTGATCAGCACAACTGGCAAGAAGTATAGGCCTTCTCGTTGTTTGAGTGCTGAGTTGAATCCCTTGGTGTGTGTGATTGTTGGTGTTTCGTTGAGTTGTGTGTTGAACCCTTGTTCTGCCAGTCTTGTTACTGACATGATGGGTTGCGTCACATCACACACATAGAAGGGAACAACTATTGTTTGCTTGTTGGTGTTGTGCATGTACACCCATTTGTAGCCATGCACTGGGATATCCTCATCTGTTGCTGTCCTCAGCCTAGGTCCTTGTCCAAGTTGTAGTGGATACAGTGGTGTGTCTGGTGCAAACCATGTTGGGCAAACGTGTGTTGCTGCTCCACTGTCGATCATAATGTCCACCTCGTTGTCTCCTCTCTGCTGCTGCACTGCTTGAGCTGTGGTGGTTGCTTCATTGTGGGCACTTGCTGCCTGATGGCCCAGTGCTCCCACAAGTTGTATTGTTGGTGTCTGCGTGTTGGTTTGTGGCGCTGGCAAAGCTAGTTGTTGTTGTTGTTGGACTGGCTGGATATTGTAGTTGCCTGACTGGTCGTTGCTGTACCAGTAGTTGTCGTACCCACTGTTTGGGTCATACCATTGGGATGTTCCATCCTGGTTCTGTTCCTGTGGTGTCTCTGCAATGTTGTACACCGCTGTTCGGCAATCCTTTGCCAAGTGGCCTTGTTGACCACATCTGTAGTATATTGCTGTTGGATTCTTTCCTTTTCCTTTGTTGTGAGCTCCTTTCGACTTTCCTTTGTTTCCTTTCTCTACTCCTTTTGGCTGATACCATTGCTGTTGTTTTCCTTTGCCCTTTCCTTTGTTGTAACTGCCGTAGCCTCCGTAGCCTTTTCCTTGGTGGTATCCTTTTCCTTTGTGACCTCCTTTGTTGAATCCTTTTCCTTTGCTCTTTCCTTTTCCTTTTCCTTTGCCTTTATATGTTGCTCCAATATCCATTGGAGCTGGGCCTCCTCCTAAGTTGCTGCTGACTGCTGAAGACGACTGTTGTTGAAGTCTTGAGAACGCAGTTGTGGTTCTGTAGTACTCCATGATTGTTGTCCTCACTTCAGCATATGTTGGTGTTGCGCTGGCATTGAGGTGTAAGTGTTGTTGGAGTGGTCCTGTTGTCTCATTCATGAGAACTGCTATCTTCACTTGGTCTGGTAGTTGTGCATTGTTGTCACGCTCGTAACGTGCAAGCTCAAATTCCCATGTTGAGAAGGACTCCTCAAAGTTGTTGATGTCGAAAGTTGGCTTGAGTAGTTTTGTGAGGTAGCCTATGCTTCTTGTTCCAACAGGTATTGCAAACCTGTTGCACAGTTGCCTGTAGACCTCTAGGCCCATTGCGTCTTGGTATTGTCTGCAAACTGTTGCTGCTGAACCGCTGGTGATGTTGATAAGGATGTATTTGAGGTTGTTGCAAAGTTGTGTCCATTTCTCTCCTTGCTCTATTGTTGAGGCTGCACCGAGCAGCTCTGCATCTGTGAGCACTGTTGTTGCTCTTTCTGCTCTTGAAAGCAGTTGTGGAAAGATGTTGTCCTGTAGGCCCATGTATGCTGAGAATTTGTACTTCCATTCCTCGAATGTTGCGTAGTTTCCATCGTATGTTGGAGGTTTCAACTTCAGCCTGTGTGTTGATCCTAGGGCTTCTGCTTGTGTTTCTCCTGCTGTTGGCGATCCTATCTCATGTGGCGTCGCCATCCTTGTTGTTGAGGGTCCCCCACACTGTATAGTTGGGATCAAGCCCTCTTCCTGCGCACCTTGTTGTTGAGTTTGTTTCTTTACCTTGTCGTTGCAGTGGTGGTGTTGGGCTGCTACCCTTTGTTGCTCCAGCTGTTGTTGAGAGTCCCCCAGTGTTCTGGGATCAAGCCCTCTGCCTGTTGGAGCTCACCTGGATGCTTCCAGGATCACTGCTCCGCTACCATGTGAAATCACAAGGCAGCCTGTTGTCTCTCTGTTGCAGCTGTTGCTGTACGCGCCTTTTGTCTGTTGGCATACAAAGGCCTGGCTCAAGGCCTTGTTGATCCAAGATGTTGCCAGGAACATCCAGTGACATGTTGGAACTGTACATGAACGTGTGTTGGACAATGTTGCTACTTAACATATTATATATATATATATATATTATATATATATATATGTTCCGTATTTTCCACCGCGCCGATAGGCACCCCACCAGTTTTCGACCACTGTGCAGGTTCCATCCTATGCTCCCTAGCTAAGTCCCAAGACACTGCTACTTGGACCGGTGAAAAATCTATGACTCGAATTGTCTGGTGAAAAGATTCGGAAAGTCTATAAAAATATGTAAAAATATGTAGGATACTCATGAAATGGTGATTTATTCAATTAATATTGATGACAATGTGATGATGGAGCCTTTGATTTTGGGGTAACTTATTTTGAGACGATGGTTATACACTACTAAGAGCGAGTACTGTACCTACTACTGTGGGCCCATTGGTGCCCCGAGATGTCTCAATGACTATCAGATTTATTTGGAACTGGCTGATGATACGAACATCTGGAGGAACCTTGATGAAGGGTACGTGAAATTGGGGGTGCTTGTTTGATCTTGTTTGTTTGCCAGCCAAACTAAGATTTGATATATATATATACATACATTACATATATACACATATATGAGAGATTATATATGATATATATGGGGTATCTGAATGTATCTGAGCTTTGTCACCGTATGTGTTATGTCAAGTATGCATTCACCAGGTTCTCGCGAGCCAAGGTGCTGACCAGAGGCGTGCCCAACTGCAAACCGGTGAAGTTCCAATTGCGCTGCTACATCAACATGGCATGATGGTGGCATTTTCTCCCGTTCTTGGCGCATGATGATTATCGAAAAAACATGAAAAAACCACTGTTGTTAGATGTATGAGAGTATTGGTGGAATGTGGGGCGTATGAGAGCATTTTACGAATCAGTATGAGTATCATCGTGATGACGGCGATGTTGTTTGTGTTATGTGGGTGCGCTGTTGTGTTTCAAGTGTGTATTGTGTATGGGGGTTGTATGTTTATTCATCTAGTATGGGTATAGTTTATAGTTTATATTGTTGAAAACCTTTCTTGTGCTATTTCTAATGACTTGCCTTTTATTTGTTTATTCACTGTTTACTACAGAAACTCCAAATGTGTGGTCCATTCACACGGTTTACCTTGATTTGGCACGTTTATGGCCCAATGTCTAGCGGTTTTCATGGGGCAACACGACAAATATTGCACAGAACCTTAACTGTTTTTGGAGGGTATCTAAGAAAGCCAATCTGACAGGGTTCCCCCGAAAGGAAAAAAAAAGGTAAGTCACCACTAACAGAAACAACACCTTTTGGCCCCCCGTGGTTTTCCTATTCTTTTCATGGACCCATACCTATATTTAGTCTTAGTTACTTATGAAATCTTATGAAGATGCAGGTACTCTGTCTGGGTGGTATTTCAAATTATTTCCAAAATGCTTATGTTCAATCTTATCTGATTGATGATCTCAATTGGCATTGGCATTCAATACAGCTGCAGATCACCCGATTCACACGTTGAGACTACTATGGACTCCGTGACAGTTTCCCCAGAAGTTGGGATACAAACGCCCTGTGATTATGTCCATACACCCACTTACTGAGTGGAACTTCACCCTCACAATGTTATTTCGAGAGCATAGTGGTATCATATTGATAGAATGTTTATTCCTACTTCGGGATATGTTCCTGGTATGTAGGTCCTAGACTTGCTTTAGGTTTGTTTTACACTTCTGGCCCCCTATCGAACAGAGAAAATGATTTGTAAACCTCCACAGGATTACAGAATGTGCATCCCAGTTCGTGGGTTTCTTTGCAAAAAACAAGTCCTAAAGAAAACCTATAACTGGGGTATTGTATTCAGTCATTTCAGGTTATTACCCACTTATGCAATACCTCAGTTTGTTCCGTATGACTGTGGGTAATAACATGTAATAAAATAAAATCTTCAAATGTCAGAAATGTGATGGCCTCATGTGTAGAATCATTACATGGTGACAGGTTCCATATGAAAGAACTGTGAGTAATGTGGAAATCCAACCCGTCTAAGGCACGCAGCCTGCAGTGTGAAGGCGATCGGGTGCCGAGTTCCTTTTGCGAAGTGGCCTGCGCTGGGCCCCTTTCTTGGCGATGCGGAGGACGAAATGGGGGACGTTCACCAGAAATGGCGAAATTTAACCAATCAATGGTGGTTTAATAGTGACTTAATGGGGATTAATGGTGGCTTAATGGGGATTAAACAATGGATTAATGGTGGTTTGGAATTGGAACATGGCTTTTATTTTTCCATATATTGGGAATGCCATCATCCCAACTTACTCATATTTTTCAGAGGGGCAGGTATACCACCAACCAGCTTAACTGGCAAAAAATGTGGATTTGGCCAGTAAAACTGGTGAATGAACGAACAGACACGGGGACCCATAGGCCATAGGGCCTATAGGGATTAAAGATGTAGATTAAACAGGAAAACTTGCCAAATCCTCAACAAAAATGCAATTTATCAAAAACGAAATTGGGAGTGAACCAACTACATGTTGGAGAGTCTTTAGCAGCAAGAATATTTACCACCAAAAACTGGTTTTAAACCAACAACAAGTGGCATTTAGCCAGAAAACCTTCGGAGTTAAACGACACACAGGGATTAAAATAGGCCAACAAACATCATGGAAGATGTTTACAAACAAAAATGGAAGCTATCAACTGGTTAAAAAAAAGGAGGGTCTGTGTATTCCCCACCTGCGTGAATATGTGAATATCAATGAATATTTCTCCAAGAACGTTGGGATAGCATGAAATTTGGCAGTAATTAGTTCAGTCACATGTGCTCTCTCGTATTCAAGCATCGTTGGTTGGAAAATATCCCATGTCTAGATCAAACATGATCAAACATGGTTTCTTGGAAACTGTCGAAACTGTCAGATTTGTAGATGATTGTTCCATTTGAGTGCCCATTTACAGTTCATGGATTTCCATTGACTTCCCATCTTCGATGACACCGTGGGACCCTGGGATGACACCGTGGGATCCAAGGCAAAGACAAAGCACGGCAGTGGTGACGCAGACCAGCTCACCCTACTGGGCCGACATGTTGGACATGACCATAAGACCCTTGGATGAAAAGGATATCATTGGTCGATTGGTTGAGTACTCGTAACTACTGGTGGCCGATATTGAATATGAATATTATACTTGGGGGTGGTTACATGAGTATGTAGTTGTAGATAGTTGTAGGGGTTATATGGGGTTATATCATGTTATATCCCACCTTATGGAGGTGATTGCATTAGTAAAAAAAACACAACAGAGAATAGCCCCAACACCCCCAAGTAGGGAATGAAAAACCACCTGGTCTGATAGGGATGGATTTTCTGAGTTGGGTTCAAGGGAGATATGGCTATAGCGGCTATGGGTCAAAATTATATTGAGTTGGGGGATCACAGATTTCAGTCTAGGTTTAGTATGAACCATCCAATTATTGGGGGACCAAATAGAGAAACCCAGACCCATTTAGAGGGTGTGTTAATATAAGTCTATGACGTGTTTCGGACATTTTCGGTGCACTCAAGAGCCCTGGTGAACATTGAACATCCCTGAATGTACAGGAACTCGTGTCTTTGCCCATTCATGTGCAGGGTTTACTGAAAACTTCCGACAACCAGATCTGGAACTCAGTGACTGACAGGTCTAATTTTGTCATGGTACGACTGGGCAAGCTTGCCATCTGTGACTAGAAAGATGGATGCTTTGGGCAGCACAAAATCCCCTGTAAAGTGGGTATGGCAATCCATGGCTACGGTACCTCACTTCATCCATGACTTCCCCCGTGCCCAGTTCAGACCAGTGTTTTTTCAAGAGACTGTGGGTTTTGTAGGGGTTGCACAGTTTTTTCTGCGTATCGCACTGGGACACCAGCCAACACCACCAGCAAGTCGCAAGCCTCCTACCGGCAATGGAACATCCGATAGTTTCGTATAACAACTGTGGATTTTCCAGCCATTCCCAGCCATTCCCAGCCATTCCCAGCCCCATCTGAGTGAATCAAGGGGAGACCTCTCAGGCTTGCAATGCTCCTTGCAGAACATGCGCTGCTATTCGGAGCCAATCCAGTTGCTTGGAGACAGATGCTTCTAGTCCTGGCCTTCAAGCCTCCAAACACGGAAAAAGATACCACATTTTGTAGAAAGTCATCTTTTTGCATTGATTACCATTGATTACTTGTGGGAATTTCCCATTCGCACCCAGGATATTCTAAACCTTCTTTGAGGTCGCCTTAGTGACTAATCGTAGCTCTCCTAGCGACCTCAAGAACCACCCCAAAATGGATTTCTTTCTGAGTGGGAATTCAAGGGAAAAGATTGAGAAGATATTTTGACCAGAATATCATAGAATGTTTCACTGCTTTCACTGTTTCGGGCACGAAAGGTCTGTTCCTTGCTGCCGATGCAACTCAATTAATTAAGGTAAAAGATTGTATGATATATGATATATCAACCTTGAAATAGATTTGATTAACATTATTGTTTATATTTAACATCACTAATTAATGATATATCATTGTCAAAAACACCAGGTGTATCTAGGGGTTCACCCCAAGATCCCAAGGCTGACCGTGTACGATGTGGTGGGGAAAGGTCTTCTGGAAAGAGTGGCAGATGTGACCAACAGCGCCAAACAGCAACTCGTCTCAAGTCGTCTTCCACCGATGTGAACCGTGGGTGAAGATATTATTGATTATATATATATATAACATGGATTATATATAATATTGATTATATATATATATATGTAAAAAACATGGATTATATATCATTGATCAATTGGTTATCCTTATAATTATTTGGATATTTGAACAATGTGGACAATCAATTGACCCAAATATATCGTTGATATATACGAATAAAATGCACCAGTTTGGTGGGTTTATTGGTACTCCAGTTTAGAGTTGTACTGTACCTGTGGAAAATCATCCAGAAAATTCATAGTTCAACAAGATAGGATAGGGACAGATGGAAGAATATGTTTGCCTCAAATGACTGGATCTGACTGGCTTGGTGCTTTGAGACGAGTCCGAAAAAATGAAAAAATGCTTCGGCCAAGGCTGGCGACAGGTGCATTGTCAGGCAATATGCCCATCAGCAATCAGGATCCACGGACCGGTGAAATCGCCGGAAACCTGGGGATTTGCCAGGATTTTCCCATGAAATCCTTTAAGGGGTGTCCTGTAAAATGTTCTGAATAAACCAATCTGTTGAGTTGGGTTGAACTCAGTGAGTCTTCACAAAAAGTGATGGTCGATTCGTGTGACTTCAACGCCGTTTGTCTCTCTTATTAAGCGGGTGGATTCTGAGCCCTCAGTGTTGTTTATTTGCTCAAGTTTTGGTTTATGCTGCGACGGCTGCATTTTGAAAAGCATTCATCAGTATGAGTGGACGTTTGAAAAACATGGATGTCGTGGTGACAACATACCATCAGCAGGACAGTCATTTTGTTGCCAAAACCAATCATCAAATGCACCTGTATATGTGAGTGCGCGTGAAGTTTGTTGATGATTGTTCGCCATATTCAGATTTTCACGTCCTCAAGATTCATTGAATTTGTTGAACCTCCAATGCACGGCTAGAAACGCTGCTCCTCTTAGCCCTGGTTATTGTAGTCACCTATTTGGGGATTATCCCGTTCTATGACTGTGTATTTTACTGGGTTATAACCCCACCTGGCGCGCCAAGTTCCCTACATAATGATTAAAATGACCTGGGATTATCCACAGTGGGATTATAATGACCATAGTAATGTGGATATTACCTATTGTACATTACCTATGGTACATTACCTATGGTACATTACCTATGGGATATCCAAGTTCCCTACATAATGATTAAAATCACAGTGATGTTCCAAAATTTGACCTATGTTCCTTTTTTCAATCTCCATTACCTATGCTTCTCCCGTTCTCCCGTTCTCAAAAGGTCCCGGATTCATCGCTTCCCGGTAGGATGGAGCCTCTTTGAACGACAGCTTGGGACTCTCGGGCGATGTGGATGTGGTCGGATCCTCAGGGATGTGATGTTTGATGAGGCTGTTACGGTCATATTATATATATATACTGTAATTTATTTTATATTATATTATATATAATATATATATATATTATACATATTATTATATATATAGTATGTATGTATATCATAATATATATACTACGTAGTAATATTTTATTACATCGTATTTTACTATATTACATCATATTGTTTATATTATATTATATTACATTAGATTTTATTTAATATATTGTATATATAATCCATTACATTAAATTAGTCATATATGTACTACACATACATGTAAGATATATATATATTATAGCTAGATTATATATATATAGATAGATTATATATGAATAGATGATTTGTAATAGATAAATAGCTTCATAGATAGATGAAGATAGATCTTATACCTATCATGCTGTAAAAAAAATAATGTATATAAATGTGTGTGTGTATACAAAACTTTCATGTAGAAAAATAGAGATTGATAAGTGCATGGTTCTTTGTGGTTTTCCGCATCGGTTTTCTTGGCGCTGAGGCCAAGATGGGTGAGGATTATGCAATGTACATGAAGGATCACGCCATGGCCACGGTCGGGTCGCACAGAGAGTTCGGGACCAAATTTGCTTATTAGATTCCCACACGAAGTGGATATGTTTTTCCCCACCTGCCAGGTGAGGGTTGTTAGATTTTATGTCAGTTGCCTCCTCCTGCCTCGTCCTCCTCCTCCTCCTCCTCTCCTCCTCGTCCTCCTCGTCCTCCTTGTCATCCTTGTCGTCCTCGTCGTCCTCTCGTCCTCGTCGTCCTCGTCGTCCTCGTCGTCCTCGTCCAACTGCGACCCGCGATCCACAGTGTTCTCTGCCGGACCTCAACCACGACCATCCACGCCCAGTGTTCCCTGCCGGACCTCAACCACGACCAGCCACGCCCAGTGTTCCCTGCCGGACCTCAACCACGACCAGCCACGCCCAGTGTTCCCTGCTGGACCTCATCTGCGAGTATCCATGCCAAGTGTTCCCTGCCGGACCTCAACCGCGGGTATCCATGCCAAGTGTTCCCTGCCGGACCTCATGTAGGAAGATATGGGACAAAGAATGTGCAGAAGAAAGTTAGAAAGAATGTCAGAAAGAATGTCAGAAGATATGCCAGAAGATATGCCAGATAGAATGCCAAATAGAATGCCAGATAGAATGCCAGAAGATACGTCAGAATATATGCCAGAAGATATGCCAGATAGAATGCCAGATAATATGCCAGCAGATATGCCAGATAGAATGCCAGATAGAATGCCAGAAGATTTGCCAGATAGAATGCCAGAAAATATGCCAGAAGATATGCCAGATAGATATGCCAGATTGAATGCCAGAAGATATGTCAGATAGAGTGCCAGAAGATATGCCAGATAGAATGGCAGAAGATTTGCCAGATAGAATGCCAGAAGATATGCCAGATCATATGCCAGAAGATATGCCAGATAGAATGCCAATAGAATGTCAGAAGATATGTCAGATAGAATGCCAGAAGATTTGCCAGTAAGAAAATGTATAAATGTCATGGTGGGGATCACACGAAGTAAAGTAATTTGTATTTGCCATTCATTCTATTTGATTTCTTGCCGCATGGACGGATATGTACAAACCGGTGGGCCAGATATGTACAAACCGGTGGAGCTAGATATTTTGCTCTATGGGACATTGATTCCTTAGAAAGCAGGCTGCAGTTCAAATGACTCGAACGTTAGTGGCTAGTGGCATGCTGCAATCTTCCTCAATGTCCCAGAGTGCATGGGCAGGAAATTGGTCCTCCTTATTGACTGCAAGGGAAATCATCTGATTTTCCATGCTGGTGTGTTCCATGCATGGTTGCAAAAAAACAAATCAACGAAGCTCTTGCCCTGTTTTGTGTTGCTCTTGTGTCTCACAGGTCTTGTGGCTATGGTGAAATCCTCCTCATGATGAGTGGTTGCAATATGTTGTAATAAAGTACTAGTCATCCCTTGCAAGATTGGTTAAGGGTTTCCCCTTTCTGGCTGGATATTCCCAAAAGAACCAGTGATTGCAAGTCAACCATCATTTAACTGTGTTTCTTCTCTTGGAAATCGTATGTTACAAGTTTAATCTCTATTTTCAAGGGTGGAAACATGGCGTCACGTTCCACAATTGGGACGCCAAAAAGAATCTCTCAACCAACCTTCAATCAATGTATTTTGCATTGAATCATGGGATCTCATAGGGCTGGAGGATCTCAGTAGCCCAGCTTAAAGGCAAAAATGCCCCCGGAAAACCCATGTCTTATCAGGTTGATTCACCTCCCCATTTGTGACGGATATTATATCCCCCATCTTTGATCAAATTCTCCCACGACCCCATCAAGATCATAAAATTCAAAACCACATTTTTTCTTGGTAGAATCCGAATTTTGATACTGATATCCCCATTGTTTGACGGGAACACCTCAATCTTTTTAGGGTGAAAAACCCCTTGGTCCATCAACGAAAAACGGCAGATGATGGGTGACGTGATGGCCACGAAACGCTTGGGTGAAGTGAAAGGAGGGCGGAAGGTCATCGGCAGGCAGAAAACGTGGAGCCGTGATTTGTCCGAAGAACCCTCCTAAAATGATCTTTTCTATGGGTGTTTCTTGCCATGGGGAACCAGAAAAATCTTCCAACCTTGATTGTTCTTTTAGTAATGAAACATTAGTGTCATTAGTGGGTTTAGGGTGCACATCCACTTTGCAAAATGCCCTAATATTATCCTTAAATATGGGATCCCCGTTCATGAACAGATTTTCTCGACCAGGATGTCTGGCCTGATTTATGCTGAGGGGATTGATCAAACCTATTGAACCATATTTAGGGGGATGAACTTTCATTTACCCTCTGGTAAACTAACATAACTATGGAAAAACACCATTTTTAATGGGAAAACTCACTATAACTGGTGTATTTTCAATAGCTATGTTAAATTACCAGAGGGTACAAGCTATTTTGGTGTGAACAGAAGGGTTTGGAGGGTTTTGAGCCACAAGCATGTGACCTGTAGGCAGAAAGTGAATTTCCGGAAGTTGTGGCTGGGCTGCAATTCGTCGGAGAAGAAAACCAACTGGTCACCTCACACAAATTCTTGGTGGTTTCAAACATCTGGATTTGCACATATTTGGGACATTTTGGGACCTAGCTGTCTTTAATATTATATAATTAGGAACAATAGTCATGACCCATAAATTAGGAGCTGTAAATGTTTAAGATCTTCATCATTCTGAAAACGGGATGGCAATAAAATAAAACCGCTTGTCATCCTTTTTGTTCGGCCCATGGCCCATATTTCGAAAGGACCGAGGAGTTGGACCTAGCCCCATGGGCTTAGCTTCGAAGTTTCGAGGCTCCATCCCCTGTCGAACTACAAGATGCGGCAACGTTGGGTGAAGTTGAAGGGTGGCACCATGGGCACTGGCTGGGCGGGTGACATCATGATCGGATTCGAGATGATGCGCCTGAGACTTGGCTCCCATTGGCTCCCCAAAGTGACCATAAATGGCTGCTATAAACCATGAAAAATCATGAAGGGAGGTTTATTGCTGCTGTACTAACATATTTGGATGGTTTGGGGTCGGGATGGTATGAAGATTCCAAGGAATTCACATGAATTCACCATGTGAAGTCTAAACCTTGGTGATTCAAAGTAGCCGCTTCAGTCGCTAGCCCCACTGGGCCTTTTTCTCACCAGCTCGTGATGCACTAAGGAAATACGTCAAGGATTTCCCGTCCAAGATGATGAATCCTGGCTTTGCTTTCTTGGCTTCAAGTACTCTTCAAGTGATATCAGTGATATCAAGTGGTTAGAACAGAAATTCCTTTTGGCAGAGACTCATATAGCGTCATATAGCATCATATAGCATCATATAGCATCATATAGCTCGTTTGCCCTTCTTTCTACTGGAAACTCTAAGCCACTTCTATCTCAGTGAAATGTAAACATCATGAAGCATCTGTTCCTGACAAAAATATCTGTGTTTTCAGAAATGTCTTCAGTTTTCGGATCTCTGTTGTTTTGCAGAGGAAGCCGCCGGGGAAGCCATGTCTGGTCTCCGTGAGCATCATCGGGCTGCGCAACCTGGCGCTGCCGGATGGCAACAGCTTCTCGGAGGGCGATCCGGTGTTGGAGGTTCAGGTGCCATCAGTGCCTTGGTCCGGATCTGGGAGGTCATGGGAGATCATGGGTGATGCGCCATGGGAGCTGTGTTGAAAAAATGGGGGGAAGAAAAGCTTGGGAAAAAAAATTACTCTACTTCGTGTGATCCCCACCATGACATGTCAGGACGTGTATTTGGACATATATTTAGTATATTCTGACATCCTATCTGACATATATTCTGGCATATATTCTGGCATTCTATCTGGCATATATCCTGACATTCCACCTGGCATTCTATCTGGCAGTCTATCTGGCATTCTATCTGACATATTTTCTGACATTTCATCTGACATATATTCTGGCATTCTACCTGTCATTATTCTGACATATATTCTGGCATTCTATCTGACATATATTCTGGCATATATTCTGGCATTCTATCTGGCATTATATCTGACATATATTTTGGCATTCTATCTGACATATATTCTGGCATATATGTTGGCATTCTATCTGGCATTATATCTGACATATATTCTGACATTCTATCTGACATTCTATCTGGCAGTCTATCTGGCATTCTATGTGGCATTCTTTCTGGCATTCTTTCTGGCATTCTATCTGGCATTCTATCTGGCATCCTATCTGACATTCTATCTGGCATTCTATCTGGCATTCTTTCTGGCATTCTTTCTGGCATTCTATCTGGCATTCTATCTGGCATCCTATCTGACATTCGATCTGGCATTCTATCTGGCAGTCTATCTGACTACATGAGGTCCGGCAGGGAACACTTGGCGTGGATACTCGCAGTTGAGGTCCGGCAGGGAACACTGGGCGCGGATGGTCGCGGTTGAGGTCCGGCAGGGAACACTGGGCGCGGATGGTCGTGGTTGAGGTCCGGCAGGGAACACTGGGCGCGGATGGTCGTGGTTGAGGTCCGGCAGGGAACACTGGGCGTGGTTGGTCGTGGTTGAGGTCCGGCAGGGAACACTGGGCGTGGGTGGTCGTGGTTGAGGTCCGGCAGAGAACACTGTGGATCGCGGGTCGCAGTTGAGCAAGGACGACGAGGACGACGAGGACGACAAGGACGACAAGGATGACGAGGAGGAGGAGGAGGAGGAGAGGAGGACGAGGCAGGAGGAGGCGGAGGAGGAGGAGGAGCAGGAGGAGGAGGAGGAGGCAACTGACATAAAATCTAACAACCCTCACCTGGCAGGTGGGGAATAAACAGAAAAATCCCATGTTTGATCCTCATCTTCGAAACTGAAACTATAGTTCTTTGGGGGGTGAACCCCATGTTCAGATCCTGGAAGGGGATGGGTCTGAAATACCATGAGAATAGCCAATTCTTGAGGGGAAAGTAATCTTCCAACCCCTACAGTATTTGCCAGGGTCTGTGTTAGTTGGGGGGTTCGTATAGTGGGATATAGTATATACATAATGCAGATGTCATCTCCAACAATGATGATGGTAGCAAATGCCAAGCATTCTTAATTCATGGCTATAGTTGATGGGATATGTACACAAACACAACTTTGTTACACAACTCTTTCACACAGTGTACACACATGTTTTTTCACACACACACCTTTCACACAACTCTTTCACACACAACTTTGTCACACAACTCTTTCACACACAACTTTGCCACACAACCCTTTCACACACAACTTTGTCACACACAACTCTTTCATGCACAATGCTTTCACACACCTTTCACACACCGCTCTTTCACACAACTTTGTCATACGTAACTTTGTCGCGCTCTTTTGTGTGGCAGGCAGCGTTTTTTGTGACAGGCGTGGTATTTGGTGCCATCGTTGGTGCTTTTGTGTGGCAGCCGTGGCACTTTTGGCACTGGGCTCTGGTGGCGCGCTTGGTCGCCGGGATGTGCCACAAGTCAACGACCCGTTGCCACGCAACTCACTGAGTCGCATCCAAATCCCCTTCACGCAAAACTCTTCTCACATACAACTCTTTCACACACAACTCTGTCACCCACAACCCTTTCACAGACAACTCTTGCGCACAAACCTCTTCCTCGGGCAACTCTTCCACATACATTTATTTCACACACCAAATCTTTCCCACACGACTCTTCCACTAACTCTTTCACACGCCAAATCTTCCACACCCAATTTTCCACCAACAACTCTTTCACATACACCACTTTCACATACAACTCTATAAAACTTTAAAACAATCGATTTTGCACAATCTCCTTTGTCTTTCTGCCTTTCCAATCCCGCTTCCACTGCCTGTTTACAGTTATTGGAAGAATTGACATGTGGGGTTGTTTCGGTTCTGAATTAATTATATATAATGATGTTTGGGAGTGTTTCATTTCATAGTTCATGTTTTGTAAATCAAATATCGAAGTCTTGATTGGTGGAACTTTTGAGAGCAATCTTCTGTTGGGGCTTAATTACCCGTGTGCCGGTGGATTGAAGGTGTGCCCGGGTGCCCGGGTGCCCGGGCAAGGCTTCTCTGTAAACTTGGCAGAAAGTAATTCAAGGCTTTGCAAATCCTCCAGAAACAACCATCTACGCAACTTGCGTACGAAGCCAGTGGGTATTGATTGACGCATGCACTGATGCGTTGCCTTGTTGTTTGCGTGCAGCTTCATGTCGTTGTCATGCAATCATCATGTTTAAGTTCCACAAGCGTCGCTTCGGCTCCGTCAGATGTAGATTGCATGGCGATGTTGTTGCCTTGTTGTTTGCGTGCAGCTTCATGTCGCTATCATGCCTTGATCTGATGTTAAGTTTCACAAGTGTCGTTTCGGTTCCGTTTCTTGTAATTGTCGGTTCCTAATAATGTTGGATCGCTTGAATATTCGCTGCAACGTTGTTGCCATTCCGTTATGTTACCTTTGTTTCTTTGATTCCTGTGCCAAAGTGTGCCCGTTTTGCTTGACTGTGTGCGCGACGTTCCCGCAAGGAGACCGTTCTCTCGAATTGGAGGGTGATGATCTGTTTTTTCTGGGCCGGGCCATGGATTTGCGGAGACCATCACCGTTAATAACCATTTTATTGCGCCACCAATCCCTGCAAGAAATGTTGGGTGAATCACCGCAAGATTGGTGTAGATACGGTTTGATATGGTCGTCCAATGAACCACCATGTTTGTTGGTGAAATGGTGGGGAATGTCATTCTGGTTCATACATGAACATTGTAAACTCATTAATATTAGTGCAAATGGATGCAAATGGGGAGATGCTGGTGTTTGGCAACTGCCTGGTGGCGTTGAACCCAGGATGAATTTCAATCCCAGGTTGATGAACTTAGGGAGTACTAGTACTCATACCATTCCCACATTCATCCAAGAGCCTCCGCATGCTTGTGATTGTCACACAGATGGGATGATTAGGGTAACAGTGGCCCCAAGAATCAAAACACGCCAGAAATGCCGCTTACTGGTTTGCCCATTAGTTCAATTTGCCCTTACTGATCAGCGAAAAACGGAAAAACTGCAGGAGTATCATCATGATTAAAAGGAAAACTCCTGACGTGCAAACCTGTTCCAGTTATTGTTTGCGATCTACCCATCATCATCACTGCATCGTGTCTTCAGGTGAAACCTGATCCGTCGAAAGCCGCGCCCAAATTGAAGGCCAAGGGTGGAAAGGGCAGCGATGGCAAGGGTGGCAAGGGCGGCAAGGGCAAGGATCCCTGGATTCGCGGGAGGTTTTTGTATTTTTTTGTGTCTGAAAATGGGATACCCCCCAATGAAATAGGGAAATTCAATGAAATTCATGCCATAATCATTACTAAACACTAAACTCACTAAACCATCAAGTTTTGGGGTGCCTTATTTTCAGACAGACCCATATGGTTCGTGTGTTGTTTCTTTTCTCTACAGTGTAAGGGTGCCCAAAGTCCAGTGGTTATCATCACATGTTCGATGAACTAGCAAACCCGTTTTCTGGACAAATCAAATGGCGAAATCATGTTGATGTTGTAGTCCTGTCATTTCAGACTGGTGAACATATCTTTGTTGGCTATTTGAGGCCATAGACGCTTCAAATTGTCACTGGTTGGTTGATGAAAGTAGAGGGGTACAGCCCATGAGGTTGCAAAAAAACGTTTTGTTTTATTATATATATACCTTGATGGATTTGCTAAAGGTGGTTGCTTGATATCTGTGTTCATCTCTGGTGTCCTAGTGGTGAACTCTTCAGGTTTGATTTCTCTGTCAGTTTTTCAGTTTGCTTTGCGAATTTTGGGGCCAACATGTTCCAAATTCCCGCTGGTGGGCTGAAGATAAAAGGATACGCTACCATGCTTCACAAAGGATATATAGGTACCCTCTGTTAAATAAACATAGACCCTGAAAATGACCAATTTTTAATGGAAACTAGTCTTCCAACCCCTATCTGCCAGGGTCTATGTTAATTTACCAGATGATAATCAACGGTGGCGATAGAAAGTCCCCTTTTTGGAACCGCTTCACGGTGCTGATGTCTTCGGTGAAAACAACCACAGGGGATGGTGCTGGTGGTTTCAAATAGATGTGGTTGAATATTTGTCTGGTTGGTGGTTTGGAACATGCTTTATTTTCCCCAATAGTTGGGATATGTTGGGATGATGATCCAATCTGACTCATATTTTTCAGAGGGGTAGGTATACCACCAACCAGTTGTTGATTTCAAGCCTGTGAGTGATCATCCATAATCATCCCCAGTCCAAGGATGGCAAGGGAAAGGGCAAAGCTGTAGAAGCGGCGTCGACAGATGATGAAGGTTGCGCCGGGATGGGAATGTCACGGGATGATTTTGGACTTGGCACTTGGGGATGGGTAAAACAGAATCAGAATGTGTTCCCTGGTTGGGATGATAGCTAGGGTAAGATTTGGGTACCAAGACATTGTTCAGGCACTCAAACTCTTCGTAAGGTTCAAAGAACACCATCATGTCTTTAAGTTGGCTGCTGCTTTTTGCGATCTTTGGGCACTCGGGATCCAAAGAGGTTCGGAAGGGTAGGCAAAATGCTTGGCATTGACACCATGAAGATCTTTATATTTTTGCCGTGTTTTTGTAATTCTTGCATTAACAGTAGTTTGTAATGTGTTTGACGCGTGAAAACTTTATACATGGATATCCAGGCTGTCGCATGATCTGGACATGGGCCCCAGAAAGGCCCAACGCACACCCAACGGCCCAACGGAGGAAAAGGTGGGAAGGGCGGCAAAGGCGATGCCAAACCCCAACTGGAGAAGAAAGGCTCAGTGGACACCATCAAATCTGACGCTAGGCCAAAAGAATCCTTGGGCTGGTGCAATTGGGGGCCGAACCTCAACTGCAGGTGTTTTTTTTTCTGCAGGGTGCTTCAAATGAGTCGGTGCAGAGCAATGTCCCAAGAACTTGCTCCTTTCAAGCTTGTTTGGATTATAGAAGAATTTGGATAAAAAACTCTGGGGTCATGCAAACTTTGGTAGATGTTTTGACAGGTGTCCGCTAAAGTGTTCAAAACAACCCGATGGTGCAATGGATTACATGGGCTGAAAATCGATGCTTTTGGGTGAGCAGATTTTCACATATTGGGTAGATGTCCAGATTCATTTGGAAGTCTCATATTTTCGTGAATGCATTATATATATATATATATATATTATACATAAATATGTATATATATATATATGTATACATAAATAAATATATATATATATATTATATACATAAATATCCCGGCGGACCGGAAAGTGAGGTCGTGAAATACTGTTTTTTTCAAAAAATCATCGTTTCGCCTAGGCGAAAACACAATTCAGCGATCACAAAAACTCTGAAATTCAGACGTCTGAATTTGGTTGTTTTTTAGATAAATGTGTATTTCGCCTAGGCGAAACGCAATTTCTGCTTCAAACAAGTTCAGGCATGCTCAGCTGTCCGCACCGTCATTTTTACATCTCTTGCAGTTGGACACCGTGGCTTTCGCCAAGTTTTTGTACGTGTGGATGAAACTCCATTCCCACCCCATCATCAGCGTAGCATCAAGAACCTCAGCAAGTTCACACGAACGTTAACATGCCCCACCCCACACCACCCCACCCCCCCCCCAACCCAATTCCCACCCCATCATCAGCGTCGAATCAAGAACCTCAGAAAGTGCCACGCGAACGTAAAATTGCCACCCCACCCCACCCCACCCCATCATCAGCGTAGCATCAAAGAACCTCAGCAAGTCACACGAAACGTTAACATGCCCCACCCCACCCCACCCATCATCAGCCGTAGCCATCAAAGAACTCAGCAAGTTCACACGACGTTAACATGGCCCCACCCCACCCCACCCCATAATCAGCGTAGCATACAAGAAAGAACCTCAGCAAGTTCACCCACGAACTGTTAACTGCCCCACCCCACCCCACCCACCCCACATCAGCGTAGAATTCAAGAACCCAGCCAAGTCACCACGACCGTTAACATTGCCCCACCCCACCCCACCCACCCCATCATCAGCGTAGCATCAAGAACCTCAGCAAGTTCACACGAACGTTAACATGCCCCACCCCACACCACCCCACCCCATCATCAGCGTAGCATCAAGAACCTCAGCAAGTTCACACGAACGTTAACATGCCCCACCCCACCCCACCCCACCCCACCCCATCATCAGCGTAGCATCAAGAACCTCAGCAAGTTCACACGAACGTTAACATGCCCCACCCCACCCCATCCCACCCCACCCCATCATCAGCGTAGCATCAAGAACCTCAGCCAAGCTTCACCCCCCTCCCCAGACACCGTAACATGCCCCACCCCACCCCACCCCACCCCATCATCAGCGTAGCATCAAGAACCTCAGCAAGTTCACACGAACGTTAACATGCCCCACCCCACCCCACCCCATCATCAGCGTAGCATCAAGAACCTCCGACTCGAAAAAGAAGCGTTTCGCGACCTCAGTTTTCGGTCCGTAGGCATAAATATGTATATATATATGTATACATAAATATATATATATTATATATATACATAAATATGTATATAAATATATATATATACACGCACATATACGCATGCATATATATAATATAACATGGATGGTCGGAGATGTTTAAATATGATGTCGAAAAACAACATGCAAACTTTGTGCGTCCAGGCGCCCCAAATTTTTGTTCGCCACTGCCAGAGCCATGTCAGGAAACCAACAAAGGAAAAAACAAGAAAGCCTTGAACAGCACAGATCCGGGGATGCAAGGTTTGGCATTTGCGGAAGGCAGTGACTCGCTATGAGGATGACACACCTTGTGCTTGAAAACAGATGGCGATATATGATATGTGCATGCCACTCTTCGGCTATACAAGCTTTATGTATTGATAGGTTATTTGCATACAACGTGTGATTGATTCTCTACCAATATGTATATATACGGACAGTATACGATAGATTGTTTAGTTAGGTATCACGAAGGGATCAATAGGATATGAAGTGTATATCACCTGGAACTAGAGATTGGGACCATGGTGGGGTCATGGCTTCAGTCCTGCAAAAGGGGGGTTGGAGCGCTTTTTTCCAAGCGCTCCAAGCCCTTGATGACTGCAAGTGAGTGTTTCTAACCACTGCCATTCCATGAAAAACGGCCGCCATTTTCAAGCTCATCAGGTCTATACTGGGTCTATACTCTATCAACCATGATTCTGTTGGCGTTGAGGATTGCCCTCTGGTAAACTAACATAGCTATGGAAAATCACCATGCTATTAATGGGAAAACTCACTATAAAATCTATAGATGGCCATTTTCAATAGCTACGTTAGTCATTCCCAGAGGGTAGCTGGTTTCATGTACCATGAATCATCCATTGCACTCGAAGAACAGAATTCATGCACCTGGTTTTCTGAGCCATGAAGGGGCCAACAATCGCTGTGTGATTGTGAGCTGAGCATGAAATGTGGGGTACCACTTAGGTGATGCCATTCGGAGAAACTCTGAGACCATCGCTGCTCGCCCTGGCTTGGGTTGGCCCTGGGTTGGCCCAGGGAGCTTGAAAAAGAAAGGACAACTATTGGTTTTATGTGAATTAAGTAATAGGCTATTAGGCCTGTGAATTAGTAATTAGGCTATTGCTATTGAAACTATTCAGGCTTGAACATGTGAATTAAGTAAGGCTTGTTTCTAGGATTGCAACGGGAGATCGGTTTTTCATGTTTTTTCACCAACTTGCAGAACTCAGCCCATGGCAATTCAGCCAACCCTGCACAAAGAGACCCCCCAATGATGATACCCTCTCGTAATTTAACATAACTATGGAAAATCACCATTTTTTTATGGGAAAATCCACTATTTCTATGGCCATTTTTAATAGCTATGTTAGTCATTACCAGAGGGTAGATGATTGATAAGCCCTCAAAAAAGGGGTTGAATCCCATGATCAATGGCATCTCGTTCACTTCACTGAGGTGTGGACCAAAAAACCGGAGACCAGACTGCACGACAAGGATACCAATAAGAAGTGGACCGCCAGCGGTCGCATGGGCTTTGAGTTTCTGAATGTGGTCCACATTGTTCCTTGATGGAAATGATGTTTGAGAGAGGGTGACTTCAAGGCGGTTTGGCATTTTCAACCTTTTGCGACGTTCGACCATATATGGGAAAATGGTCCCAGTCAACTAAGATGTTTGAGGCGCTTAAAGCAATCAACCAAAAACTTGTTGGACTTGTTATCACCCTGTGCTTTGAGGCAGCGTTGTTGCCGAAGCTGCCAGTCTACGAACCGGAATCTGAGATGATTGGAATTTGGTGGGAAAGCTGGTTTATGGTTTCATGTTTTCTTCATGTCAACACTATCATTCTCAATGACAATCCACAATGATCCACAATGTACGTAGTATATCTTTAAGCTGGGTTGAAACTCTTGAAGGAACCAAGAAAAAGATGCCAAGTGCTGCCACAACGAACATGTCTCTTCAATCAAGATTCGTGGTAGCGCATCAGAGCAAGCAAGCAAAGCTTTTGGGTTTCATGCAACCTGATGCCTCCGTGAAGTGTATTGACATGTTGCTCATCAAGACCTGGAAGCGTCGCCACGGCGAAACAAGCTTTGATTGATTTAGCCAGAAAATTGGGCTGAAAAATCCCATGGAAAATCTCAATTTTTCTGACTCCTCGGATATTCCTGGATTAGTTGTGGATCAGTGACTGGGAGACTTCGGAAAGCCATTTTAGAATCTACCCGATTGGGGGATGGGAATCAGCGATCCATCAAGAGGAATTTATACAATAAGGATTCCCAATATGGGATGGATGAGCATAAATATCATGTAGTTATATAATCTGGGTAAATTATAACGACCTCACTGCGACCTCACTGGGAATAATGGTTAGTAAGGGAAATCATCCCCAAATGGCCTTAATTCAGGTTAGTGAAATATTATAATTTACCCAGATATAATGTTATATACCTACTAGATCCTACTAGTACTATACTCCCATCATATAGCCACTATATATCCCATGATATACCCCACTATGTTTCCATTATATACCATTATATAGATATTCCCATTATATACCCACTATATTCCCATCATATATTTATATACTATATACTGGTATATATATATAGAGAGAGAGAGATTCCATATATGGTTGGCTCCGAAAGCTGGTCAACAGCCCAAGGATTTGCGCTTCATCTTGAAGGACGGTGCTGGGCCGGACGCCAAGCTTCTAGCCGAGGGACGAATTGGTCTGGCTGAACACTTGCCATGGGTAAGTGATCCATCGAAAGCCAGGCCGATCTTGGGATCTTGGGATGTGGATATGGATTGATATGGGGATTGCCAACAACAAAATCGGCATTTCAGAAATGATTTTTTAATGGGGTTTAAATAGGATGTTTAACCGGGTTTACCCGAGGGGATATTCAGGAATGTTTTTGGCAGTTGTTCCCCTGTGAGCAGTGGTATTTTAAAACCTCCGTTGATTGATGATAGGTTCAGGGATTATACTCACCAATAGGTAGGGACACAATCCACTAGGGGAGTCCCTATCAACCAACCAGTTTTTTAAGGGGCGGCACAGGGTTTTCAACATTGCTCAAATGGGAGCTTATGGGTTCCTAAGTTTGGTCCGGGACCCCAAATCATCCAAGTTTTTTTGGCTGTGTTTGGGATACTAGTGGTTTTCAGGGATACCATGAATTTCAAGAAACATTCATATAATGGAGGTTGTTTTCTCCAGTTTGCCAGGTCAATTCTTGGAATTCTTGGAGATAATGTGGGGATGAGCAGCCCACGGATGCTGATCATAGCGACCTGAAAAAGGTAGAGATGAACTTTCTCACCGTTTTAGTAGTATTCTACTCGTCCATCTCTGTGAAATTTGCCGGTTGCTTAATAGTGTATTCGGATGTATATATTCGGTAGAAATTTCAATTCGATATCATCGGAATATCTTGGACTGACTCCAAGGCTGAATGAGCCAATGCCACGAGTCATGTTGCATGGGCCTCTGAAATATTGTAGATCACCAACAAAACCCGGGAATCGGCATGACTTAAATATGCAAGATAGTGACAGATAGTGTGTATGGAGGAACAAAGGAAACCAAACGATGATGTTTGTTTATGGGTGTTGCAACCAAGACATGATATTGACATCAATTCATAGCAATATCATACCATATCATTCCAAGGTCAGGTAATCATGTCGTCATCCTATCCACATCTATGCACGTTATTGTCGCATGTCGCATGTACAGGTTGCTGTGGGACCTTTTTCAAGCTGACGAGATGAGAATTTGACGCTCTCTTCCGTTTGTTAAATCCCAAGAGTTCGTGCCATTTGAAGTGTGGATGGCACCAGCTGAAATGGATCACGCGGGTGCCACTTTCATCACAAGGACAGAGCGTTGAACAGAGTTGAGATGTTGTTTTCCCCCATGTTTGCCATGGTTTTCCCCGGGTTTTCCCGTGGTTTTCTGCCAGACACCATATGTCCCCTTCAACTGGGTTTCCGTCGTGGTCGACAGGCAAGCCACCGAAGCCATGGACAACTACTCAGACGGTGCCTCACCTGAGAGGAAAAATCTCACTGATCTCACAACTGGTAACAGCTTGGAACTGCTGTGTACTGACCCATTGTTGTGCAAAGATTCCTTGAATTTCTGTTCTGTCAAAGCGTAAATAACAGGATCCAAAGAGTTTTTGTTACCTACACTTGGGCCATTTTAGTAAAGAGCTTGACTGTGGTAAACTCCATGCTGGTAGTAAAGTGAATTTGGGGGTTGGTTGATAAAAACAAATCCTCCAACATTTGGTAAACTTGTGACTGGATTCATGTAACAACATTGATCCCGTCAGCGGATCTATTCTGATCTAATTATTCCAGTCCAATCATATGATCATCTTGAATATTTTGGCCCATGTTATATGGTTGTTGACATGTGTTAACATGTGTTGACATGTGTTGTCCCATTGGGAAAAATATGGAAAAATATGGTCGTCGAGGTGAGGGAGCCGACGGGATGCCTGTCAGTGATGCCGACGACGAAGGCGGCGAAGGGCGGCGGAAAACCGTTTTGATGGGTCGAATCTCGGATGTTTCAAGGATTCGAATCTCGAAAAACCGGGTTTTTTCTGATTGAAACTAGTTGAAAAACCCTGAAATCTCAGGGTTTTTGTATGTTTTTGTTATGATAGAAGAATGGATAGAAGAATGGATATCCATCCCATGTTTGTAGCCGTTAAATGCCGTTAACTCATGTTTGTAGCCGTCCACTATTGCACAGAAGTTCATCAACCTTTCACGGCATGGAAAATTCCCATGGGAAAATTCCAGCCAATTCATCCCATGACTTCGCCTGCCAGGGTCCACCTATGTGGAGGTCATCCTTGGAAACCAGCCACCTAGCTGCGAGGATTTCCCGAAAATGACAGAAACATGGGAGAACTACTGCTGGGTGGGTCCCATGATTGGTATTGATGCTTTTAGTATCCAGGATAGTAATTAATACGGTATGTATCCCAATATGATCAATATGGTTTTAATTTCGGTCAGTGAATTATTGCATTCAACTAGATATGTGAAGATCGTCTGAAGTAACAAGCCGATCATTGGTCTATGGCTTGGATGCGTTCATGTTCTAGAACATATTATGAGGATTGATAGAGCTGGTTGTAGATGATGTGGTATGGATTGAAAACTCGAAGATGTTTGATTCTTGTACCCTCATTTGGAAGGCTAAAATGTCTCACTTTCAGGTACTGTCACTGTAGGTTTGTTTTAGCCACTGAGCAACATTTATATAGTAGTATCTTATCGAACCTCTACGTGCCCAATGTAGACAAACAGCCAAGCTGTTGTGCTAAAATTTGTTGGGTTCACCCTAGTTGCCCAGCAGCAACCCCTGGGGGTTTTCAAGCTAAGAGGCGCCAACCCTCTAACAAACATCGCTGGTTGGCAAATGGTCATTGACATAATATACATATGTATACATCCATGTGTATATAGTTTTTTACACTATGTATAACTACCTAAAGTACATATATATATATATATACATATATATAGTATTATACTGTTGTTGTTGTTGTCGTCGTTGTTGTTGTTACTATTCTTAATTTATTATGCATATGCATCTATACTTATTATGATATAGCATTTCAACTCACAAAGATAACGTTGATGGCCAAAAACCTACTCCAGGCCAGCGAAGGTCGCCTTCGAAAAGGAAGCATCTCGGTCAATATCTCTCCTTGTCCTCAAAAATACATCATGTGTTTTTGGTTGTTTTGAGTATGCAAACCATCCAGATGTTTTTTTGGGTTGGAATTTAGATCCAAGATGCCTTTTCCCAATCCAATTTCATGCCTTTTCCTGCTGTTTCTGAGCTCTTGAAAGCTTCTGGCAGATGCCAAGGACAAGAACAGCTTCCCCCCGGTGATCTCTGATCTCAGCGAGAAAAGCCAGGCAGCGGCCAAGGGGATCCTTGGTTTTCATGTCTACCCTCTGGTTTTTTCAAACGTGGTTGGAAAACATCTCATTTACCCTCTGGTAAACTAACATAGCTATTGAAAATGGCCATTTTATAGTGGATTTTCCCATTAAAAGTTGTGATTTTCCATAGCTATGTTAAATTACCAGAGGGTAATCTGGTTGGTGGTTCGGAACATGTTTCATTTTGCAAAATATATGGGTTGTCATCCGTCCCATTGACGAACTCATATTTTTCAAGATGGGTAGGTCAACCAGCAACCACTAATTATAGATGATTTTCCCAGCTACAAACCTCCATTTGTCGGGGATTTCTAGCTGGACTTTGCTAGTTAACCAGTGGTCCCTGGGATGGTTTTCATCAATGTCTCGTCCCCAGTGGATCCAAATCTGCCACGGTCATTTGGAGTTTTTGTTTTTATCTGGAACTCCAGAATCCCATGAAGAATGTCATGTGATCATATTTTTTCCCTCATTTTGAGACAAAAACACTGGGACTAACTATTGTCTGATCTATCCCCAAGGTATTTGGTGAACTTCAAGGCCTTAACTTGTTCAATGCCTGGTTAAAGAGATTTGAGCTGTTCGCTATGGCCCATCATGGATGCTACAACGTCGGCTGCGGGTTACCACATCCCCAAGGATTGGTGTTGGGGACTGGCTGATTTCTGTGAAGAAGCAAGACGAGAAACAGGACACGCCAGGCTGATTCTGGTTGGTGGTTTGGAATATTTTTCATGTTCCATATATTGGGAATAATCATCCCAACTGACTTTCGCATATTTTTCGGGGTGGCTCAACCACCAACCAGTGATTTATTTGGATCATCAATCAACAATCCACCAAGATTGAGTGATGTACAAATGGGCTCTTCCCATTATTTATCAGAATGTATCTGGTACCCAAAATGTGTTCAAAACAGCTGCAAATGACGCTCAAACAGCTGCCTAAATTGGGTTCTGGGTTATCCTCTGACGCTCCGGGATGGCCTCTGATTATAGTAACTTGGTGAAGGGTTGATGAAAATTGCTGGGTTACTAGGGATGGGAAATCTCAGGGAAATCTAAGGAAATCTGATTTGCAGGAAATCTCAGCCGGATTTTTTTTGGAATTTCTGGGGATCCCTGAGATCTCCATTTCCAGCTCCCATAGACCACTTCACTGGCTATGGGGCAAGATTTTTGTCGCTCCCCAAGATGGTTGCTGAATGATGTTGAATGATGTTCGCAAAGATCGGATTGCATAATTACGAAGAATTACAACATGATGTAAAATGGGTATGGGTCAATACCTATAGATACATTTTAGTGGGATTAACATCCATTTACCAGCTATTTTGGGGTTCACTAGGTACCAGGGTTTTGACCCATCCCCAAATGGCTAACAACATCCACCTGGAAAACATCCCAACCTCCGGAGCCATCCAGGAGCAAACCATCACATGGAGCCCAGCGAAGGCTGCAGACTTCATTGAGAACCTTGGCCCAGCGACAAGGGGCATGTGAGCAATGGTAAGCCATGAATTCTTGAGCTATAAGGTTGGTTGGCGGGTTTACCACATGATTGATACTTTTTCCAGTTCTAGATGATGGGCATTTGTTGGTTCGGAGAGTTTCTCATGACCTATATATAATAGGTAGCACTGTCAGTAGCAAACACAACTTAACTCACTCGAGCGCGCAATAGTTGGTGGTGTCGATGCGTTTTTATAGTGCCCCAAATGTGGATGACATATTGCATGTAAACAACGTGGAGCAAACCTCGAATTTTGAGGGGAGAAACATCACTCAAATGGTTTCGTCGCTCCCTTTTCTTGGTTTGGGCTGGAGCTTCTGATGGTAATATGTGCAGATAATGACAAAGATGGAAGTGGCGATTGAGCTCAAGGGGAAGACAGCTTGGTCACTTTCATGTCATTCTGCATGAGTTTTTCTGTCTCATGTAGAGGAACTGGCATGATTGTGGTTGCAACTGGCAAGGGGTCTCCTTGGTTGCTGCAGCGACTCAGAAATTATGCTAGGCATGGCCTGGCCTGGCCTGGTAAGTGGCCTCCCCTGAAATGTCGCACCTTCAGAGAGTTGAACTTCAGGAAGAATTGGATGATCTGGATGCATATCAAATCATAGAAAAACTGTTTCAGCTACTAGACTTGGCATATAAATGGTGTGTATATCCTATATTATCATATCATATATATCATGTAAGTGCGGCGAAAAAATACATACAATGATAAAAAGAAACGGGGATGATACCCTCTGGTAATTTAACGTAGCTATTGAAGATGGCCCATTTATAGTGGATTTACCCATTGAAAATTGTGATTTTCCATAGTTATGTTAGTTTACCAGACGGTAAGTCCATTTTTGGTTCCTCGATCTCCAAAGGGGACCTGGAAATTGGTCAGGAAAAGCGACAAAGAGAAGATAAGGCCGCGGGAAGAACCTGGCGGCGATGGCAGGGTAGAAGTCGCGCCAGGGACCAAGCCATCCAAAACAGGGATCACATGGGTAGCCTTGGAATTACCATCTGGTTATGACGAAAAAAAGTTCGCCATGGAAAGATCCACCATGCTATTTTCATAGGTAAACCATCTATTTCGATTTGGGCCATCGAAAAACCATGGCGATTCGTCATAACCAGATGGTACCTATGTGATCCCGTGATATCCGATGTATCAAATACCTGCGGGGAGCTTTGACACCTATGCAATCCAGCATCATTCGCACTACTGATTGCGTTTCATCATACGCACAGATGTACAAATGGTGTCGTGCCTGTACACATATCGGGCATGGGTTTGATTGGTCCTCGAATCAAAACACCCAAGACGCCGCAGCCGTTGTTCATCACATGTTTTTTTTAGTCGGAACAATGTTTGGATAACACAAAATAAATAAATCATCCATGATATTTCATGATATTTCCATTGCATGCCCATTCAGATATATGCCGGATATATGCATATATAGGATACGGAGCAACTTTTGTTCGTTGCATAGATACACATACAATATCAGCATGCATGATTCTGCATGGTACAGTATAGGATGTCGTGGGCAAATACTCAACTTATCCATGGATCCCTCCACATACATTAATATGTATACACACATATGATATGTATATGTACCCTCTGGTTATTTAACATAGCCATGGTATAGATGGCCCATAGAAATAGATGATTTTCCCAGCTAGAAACCTCCATTTATGAGGAATTTTCCATGGATAACCAGATGGTACATATGTATGTAATTGTATGTATATCTGTGTGCACTGCCATGGTCAAAAGTTACATTGCATACCCATATTCAGCATTGGTCATCACTCCATTAATTGAGATATATACACCGATTGTAAAGACCCCTATTGTTGGATTGATGACCATACCAAAGATATCCAAAGATAGCATGTTTTGACCATGGCACCTATATCAATGAATCAAATTGTGAATCTGAATGTGATACATATATATATATCATATCTAAAATGAATTGGATGTATACATGATGTAAATATATAATTAGTTAGTATAATGTCTAGTACAACTCCGCGTTGTAATGCTGCCTTTTTTCACCCAGCCAGGCCTTTGAAGCTGATCTTTCGAAAGAAGGAGACGTTTTTGTGGTGTCCACATCGGGGCCTTCCAGAGTCATAGGGGATTTCAAAAATGAATAGTTTATAATGATAAAAATTGATTAAAGAGCCATCTATCAATGATTTAATTTAAATGAATGATTTAGAAGTACCCCATTTTCCGAAACCTCCAAATGCGATCACAAACTGGGTTCAACATCTACATATATAGTATATTTATATATATATATTGCAATTGGGGCGAACCAATGCGGACCCATACTCGGACTAGCAGATTTACATTTGCATGCAATATGGTGTATATATATATATACACACATTCTCTCTTATTAGCTCAAATAATCCAATACCAATCAAAAGCTGTGTGCTATCTGGATTCATGCGTTCAATCCACTATGGAAAATGGGAAAAAAGTGCGTATGGATCAATCCTGTTCTCGACCCGGGTTTTCCCACCAAATTAGCTCGGAAAGGCATGTTCATCCCCCTCACTCATGTGGAAGTTCATGGATTTTGACCTGTCCCCACGTTTAATGGCGGAGGGACTATTAAGATTAATCACATGTTGCCTCATTTTACTAATCAACATCGTAACGTAACCGACAATCCGCCATGAGGTGGATGATTTCTCTGACACAATGAGAATTTTCCAGCCATGTTTGATTCCCACAGGGTGCTATGAGATTCTTATCACTGCTACCCAGTGAAAATCAATTTGGCAGATTTGTCCAAGGTACAATTGATACTTGATAGATCCTGATAGATACCCTCAAGTAATTTAACAATGTGCTATGGAAGCCATGGCCCATTTAGTTCGATGATCTACCCAAAAAAAACATTGTGATGTTCAAGTTCGCAAACTCTTAGTCGTATTGGAGACCACCAATCAGTTACAACAAATCATCACTCCTTTAATACCCTCTTGCTATCACCATTTAAAACGATGGTAGATCATCATAAATGATCTGGAAATGGGTCATGTCCCTATGTTAAAGAACCATTATGGGTACCTATGATATTCCCATGGATGGCCTGAGGACAAGATCGAAGTCCATGTGAGGATCATGAACGGCCCGTGGCATGGCGATTTTTTTTTCGAAGATGGCAATTCCTACTGTGGATGGAAGAAATCCTGCACCAGTTGATAGATGGTTTAGCCACTTTTAATTGTAGGGGTTCAACCATCCAAGGTGGTGCGGGAGTTCTTAACCATCCACAGTGGTGATTTGTAGAATATACAAATGGAATTGTCATACGGATTCAGCAGTTAACTCTTACGCAAAATATCAAATATATACATTCAATAGTGACACTGGGATATCTTACATATATTGAGCTCATTGTGTAACAAATTCACTAAGTATTATGCCGGGAGTCATTGCTGAGTTCATTCCTTGGGTTTCCATGGTGCTTTTCAAATACTGGGCCCTAGGGACGGCATGATCCACCTGCAACTGGTGCAGTTTGCTACAGCAAATTTACTCCAATCACTTGGCAACCCCGTTGTGTTTTGTGTGTAAAAGTCTACAGTTGGGGTACAGATTTGACAGCTTCTGCTTGGTGGTTTGGAACATTTGGATGATTTTTCCATTCAGTTGGGAATGGAAAATCATCCCAACTGACGAACTCATATTTTTCAGAGGGATGGCTCAACCACCAACCAGGCTTTCTTGGCGAATCATCCTTGATCTCAGGCACATGCTGGAGCTGGCCGACAGCAAAGACGAAATGCCTCCGAAGATTCTTCGAGACATCTCCAAGGAAGCCGGGGGTTTACCCTCTGGTAATTTAACATAGCTATTGAAAATGACCATTTATAGTGGAATTTCCCATTAAAAATGGTGATTTTCCATAGCTATGTTAAATTACCAGAGGGTAGCTCAGGTGCAAGCTGTCCTGCGGGATGTAGCGGGCATTTTTGTATGTTTTTGTTGTAATCTTAACCTTTGATGCAGCATTCACCGTAATTAGAAGATGATGAATGACAATGGATGATTCTGCCCAGGATTTTCCATTGCCAGTTGCTTTATGGAAAAATTGGAGGGTATGACCGCATGACCCGGAAAACAGATCATGATCCAGTCCGGAGAAGCAAGACGCTACCATAGCTATTCAAGTCATTGGGTACCCCAATCAATCCCAATCATTAGATGGTGAAGATGGTGAATAATAAGCATCGACGAAAATCTCTGGTCCCCTAAAATTTCAATAAATTGACGCTGCGTTTATCATCTTCGCCTATCCCGCCCAGCTATCCCATGCTATCCCGCCCAGCGATCCCCGCAGCGCGCTAGGACAAGATGTGGCGCAAACAGGGCATCTCCCCCGGCTGGCGCATCGTGGACATCAACGGGGTGGACACCAAAGAGATGACTTCGGTGCCGTGGTGATCACGGTGGTGACGGTGATGACTGGACTGGACGAAAAAAACTCATGAAATGACTCTACAACCTACCAATCTACGGAAAATGATGGGAAAAATGATGAAACATGGTGAAAAATGAATGAAACATGGATGACAAATGATGAACAATTCGTGGTGGGTTTTTCGGGATGTAGAAATATGTAGAATTTTCGCATCGTTAATCATTTTGCACAAATCGACTGGTGAGTCGATAGAAAGGATGGTAGCTGGGTTTTGATTTATCTCAAGCTATCAAGAGTGGCCACTCCAAAGACGGCTGAAGATCCGAAATGAAAAAAAAACCAAAGAAATATGAAAAAAAGATATAAGATCTACACAAACGAAGGCCATATTGGAGCCTCGAGTCATTCGTAAATTTTAAGCCCGGCTTGGGCGATTGTTCTTTGGGACCCAAGCGACTCGTGGGGGCCCAAAAAATGGGATGATTCCCCAATCGGTTGTAATTGGGATGGAGACCATGGGGACCAACTCAGCACTAGATATGTCCTGGAATGGATCCTCAAAAAGGGTTTCAGGAAGTAATGTGGCCATTAAAGTTCATTTTTCAGAGTCCCTGAGGGAAGAATGACGAAATCTTCGATTTCAGTCGAATTCGAAACATGTTTGAAAAAGTGGATAGATCTTGGTCACCTGACACTTTGTGGAGCCATCATCGCATTCTTTGCATGGAGGAAATCAAACAAAACCTGTATCAAGTAACATTCAGGTTTCCAAAATTGGGGGGGTACCCCCTTTTTTCAGTTTTTTTTATTTATGTTCATAGGAGTTTCCATCTATGTTCATTCTAAATCAATAAATGATCCAGCTATTGGGCTACCCCTGACTTAGGAAAGCCCACCAAATCGTCATGTTTTTGTCGGCGACCCACCAGGTGACCAACTGCATAAATCCCGTGTTTGTATTGGTCCCACCTCCATGTTCACCACAAGTTCAATTCATTGGAATGTTTTTGTTGATTAGAATTCACTCTGTATCTTTTGAATCAAAATTCTTGGTGGTTAAAACATTTAAAACTTAAATTTTTGCTTCTTAGACTACCAACTTGGTTGAAGAAGCACCGTCTTTAGTGGTTGAACCACCATTTCTTAGCAGCTAAACCATGCTAAACCACCTTTTTTGATTGTTTTTACCACTTTCTCTTGCTTACACTCTGGTAATTTATCATGGCTATGTAAAAAAAAAAAACTTAAAAAGATACCATGTTGTATAATAGGTAAACCACCGACCTAAATGAGCCATGTTCATACATTTTCCATAGCAAGCTGTTGAACTCCCGGATGCTATTTGGTGTGGTACCTTTTGAGAAAAAAACAGGAAGGATCTGTCACGATCTATCAGCTATCCATTATCCATCATTATCCCTTGGAAAGGAGGTACCAAATTCAATTTTACTGGGTAGGTAAAATGGGGTTGTCCGAAAATAAGGTGCCCCAAAGTCCCATGGGGTATCATACTTTCAAAGGACTATTTTGGGGTATACCCAATTTTCAGACACACCCAAATATTAATATTGGTTACCAGTTTCCATTTTGCCATGGACAGGTCAAATGTGACTATTTCACTTATAGACTTATAGGACTGAAATGTTAGAATCCAATATTGTTGATGTTGTATTCTCTGTATCCCCATTAGAATCCCACTAAATTCATGTAAATTCCATGAAATTCCAATTAAGTCCAATTAAATTGAATTCCCATCAAATCCCATGAGAATCCCATGAAACTCCGCAAAATCCCACAGGATGGGGCCCCCAAGATAGCTAAGTTGCCTTATAAGTGGCTTTATGGTAGATATAACTATAGTTAATAGGGGTTATAATGGTTTATAAGCCCACTTAGCTATCTTGGGGGCCCCATCCTGCAGTCAAACTCCACTAAAAATCCCAGTTAAATCCCATTAAATTCCCATTAATCCCATTAGATTCCCATTAAAATCCCATTAGAATCCCATCAAATCCCAGTCAAATGCCCTTTACCCTCTGGTAATTTAACATAGCTATGGAAAATCACCATTTTAAATGGGAAAATCCACTATAAATGGCCATTTTCAATAGCTATGTTAGTCATTACCAGAGGGTAAGTTCCATGAAATTCACGGCAGGTCATGCCTCGCTTCAAGCAGCTGCTGCAGCTGCGCCCAGCGATCGTGACCTGTCGACCTCACGGTCTGGCGGCGCGGGGCGACTCGGATAGGCCGGGGCGACCGGCGATTTGACGGGGAGTTCCTTGGGGATTTATAGTGATTTAATGGGATTTAATGGGACTTTATAGTGATTTAATGGGATTTAATGGGACTTTATAGTGATTTAATGGGATTTAATGGGATTTAATGGGACTTTATAGTGATTTAATGGGATTTAATGGGACTTTATAGTGATTTAATGGGATCTAATGGGGGGATCTAATGGGATTTACCCTCTGGTAAACATACAAAAGCTATGGAAAATCACTATTTTTAATGGGTAAATCCACTATTTCTATGGCCATTTTCAATAGCAAACTGTTAGTTTACCAGAGGGTATGTACTGGGATTTGATGGGATATGAGTTAATGATCAATACCTATTAATACCATTTTTAGGGGGATGAACATCCATTTACCAGCTATTTTGATGTGAACTACAGGGGTACAAGGTTTTGACACACTGCCATATGAGTTAATGATAGTTAATGGAACTTTAATGTAATTGACTGGAATTTCATGGAAATCCGTGGATATATTTGGAATTGAATGGGATAAATCTGGCAAATATATTGATCTATCCCATGCCCGTTTGTGCCTCGTCGAAAGTTGGATTCCCATAGGATAACCATGGCCATTCCCAGTCGCCAGGGTGATCCAAGAAGGGAAACCTGTGATGCTCAGCGGAGTGGCCACTAAAGTCTACAAGGACCGATCGATGGCGGTGGTTCAACATGTTTTGAACCATACCCTCTGGTAATTTAACATAGCTATTGAAAATGGCCATAGAAATAGTGGATTTTCCCATTAAAAATTGTGATTTTCCATAGTAACCATAGGGGTTTGTCTGAAAATGTTGGGTATATTCCCAATGAAATAGCCATTAAAAACGGGATAATGATCAGCAAAACCATTGGGTAAAAAGGGGTACACAACATTTTCAGACACACCCATCTTTTGAACCATAGATATTTCAACAGATGTGAGTTGTTGCCACTGATTGCTAAAAGGATCGCTTGGTGAAGTCAGGTAAGGAAAATTCTCCGGGTAACTGCGTGGTGATTTCATATCCAAGTGTTTTCCATCCCAAAACTTATGGTTGGAGCAACCCAGCCACCACTTTCCAGTTCAAAAAAGTGGTTTGAAGCCACCAATCAGTTAGATATTGTCACTGGCAAAGGGTAAGACCCTTGCCGTGACTAGAGAACAATCCACTGACAACGGACGTGATTTCTTGGCAGCAGAAGCTGGCCAGAGCTTGTTGCGGGCCCCTAGTGGGCCTCATTCCTGCCACGTATCCCCCTGCATCAGGGCTCTTCATGCAAGCGATCCTTAAAACGGCCCGTTGTTTCGCTGGGACATGGAGTCAGAATCCCATTCTCAATGTGGCTTAACCCAGAACAACTCAAAGGCCAGCACCCATCGTGGGTCACTCAGGAGCATGAACACAAACTGCGGCACAAAGACCCTCGGCCTGACCTGACAATGTCTCACAGCAGATCACCTCAGGGCTGGTGGTTTGAAATGTAGCCTATTCAAGTTTCAGAAGGGAAAGCAATCATCGGAATGGCCTGGTTTCTTTTGAAACCAATTATGGCAATTATGGATGTTTTACCTGTGCTTGTCGTTCGTTAAAATCCAATTTCCAAGCCCATCATGTCATCCCTGGTTTCTTTCTTGATGGGATTCCTTTTTTTCTGGCTCACTTCCTTGCTCACTTTGCTTGTCCATGGCCAAGCCATGCGATTGGTGAGGTTTGTGTTTGTGACTTGGGCCTTGTATCCAACTGATTGCACCATTTTCCCGCCACAGTCCATTGTATACAGAGGGAGACGTGGACAGGCCCCATCATAATCTTGGGATGGTACCCATGGGATGGTTGGTTCTTTCGAAGTAAACCTCCATGTCAGCCAGCATCGCCATGTTTGCCCAAAGGACAACCAATTAATTGGTTAGATATCACAATTCAATCCATTCAATTGGGTTATCTAACTCATTGGTTAGATATCTAACCCAAGGGATAACCCAAATTGGTTAGATAATCATCCATTCTCCCCATTGAAAAAAAAAACACTTGGCTCAACCACCAGTGTCAGTGTTTGAAAGCGACCACACCTTGACCTGGCCATAAGGATGGTCCGCTGGCATTCCTGCGTGTTCCTAGACCAAGCGCTGTGCTACTTGGCTGACGAGGTCCCGGTGCCACACTGGAAATGGCGAGAATGGATGGGTAAACGGTACCTAACAAAATTTGGAATCCCCAATTTGATGGCTATTCTGAATCTTCCCTATCCTACTAATGTGGCCACAACTGGGTGGTATACCAACACTTTCAAACACGTCCACATAGGTTTGCGGTTTAGATGATCCCACAGCATCCCACATGCAGTACACGCAAGGGGTCAACAAGTGGGTCTTGATGTCTCCACAAACATCACAAACCAGGAAAGGTAGATGAGAAGACCCTTTTCCCCATAATTTCGCACATTTCAATCATATAATATCATATAATCATGCCATAGAGAAGACCCTCCACAATAATTCGCAAAGAAAGGTACAATGTCCGATCCATTTGACGGGTCCGTTTGCGCACGAATAAACGGCTTGACCCATACCCGCTTAGGTAAATATAGAACATTAGAAGGACGTCACTGGCCGACGAGAAAAGGATGGTTTACATATGGGTGAGTATCCTAAAATGACTAAAGGTTCCAGGTTGGCGAATGATTTTCATCAATGTGGCAGTTGTAAGTTATAGATAGAAATTTCGCTTCCATACATTCAGCAGGTTGGGTGCATCAGAACTACCCAGATACACTCCGGTGATTTTTCAGAGTTTGCTATGGAATGGAAGCCATGGTCCATTGGAAAACCATTTACTTCGATGATTTACCAAAAAATGGTGAAAGTCACCATCGCTGGAGGGTAAATTAATCCCTTATATAAATCCCATGAAATTCCCATTGGTTGATGGTTGACCCTTCATTTTTTCCATGAATCACCTTTATATTACGTATATATATATATATACGTATATATATATATACGTATATATATACACGTATATATATATATATTATATATATACACCAAATATATATATATATATATTCCCATTGAATCCCATCAAAAATCCCACTTAATCAAAAATAAATCCATTTAATTTATAAACTCCATTGAATCCCATGAAATCCAACTATACCAGAGGCTACCCGATGTTTCGGCGACACGGCACGGTCGAGGCTCCCCGATGTTGTGAACACGCAGCATCTCAACTGTCGCCCCGCCCGAGCCGGCATGCTGGACGTGCAGGTGCCATTGTATATGTGATCATATACACATGCAGCACCTTTTTGCATCTAGGAAAAATAACTCGATATTATTTGTGCACATATGGTGTATATATATATGCTATGTTATTTTTTACGTACAGATCCACCAAATATATATATATATATATGTGCTATCTTAATACAAGCAGTTTCTAAGTGTGGATGATGAGGTCACGAATTGAAGGCCCGGGACATCACCATCATATTTGCTGTTTCTATTGCATATAGCCATGCAATTAGTTTGTGGGGTGTACCTGATTCTGATATTCTCATCTATACAATGTATATATATGAAAGTAAAAAGCACGAGTGTGATGATGAACATCTCAACTTATCAGAGCCTTTTGCATTGATGTTTAGCATTTCAAGCAATCAATGACTCACAGTAAGCCATTCTGAAATGGCGAGGACTCGAAGATTCACCATGTGGGGGCGAAAAGTTTGCCTATTGCAGACAGGTTGCTAAGAGTTTTGCAACTTTAGGTTGCTAAGATTTCAGAGTCCAGTCAGTTTTATGATATCAAATTCTACACCTGGAACGCAGATTACCATCCAAAATGCGGCTCGATTACATTCCAAGTCTATGAATATGTAAATGTAAAGTAAATTGGTGAAAAATTATGTGATTTGGTCTCCATTACACTTTAATCATGAAACATGTGCATCTTCAAATATAAATGTATCATTATATATACATACATATACATATATATATATGTATGTATGTATGTATGATTGTGTGTATGTCATTATATCTATATTGTATCTATACCTTGCGCAGCCACACTGTTTTCAGCCATCGCGAGCCCAGGGCATTGCGCGCTTCATCGCTGGCGGTGGGATCCTCAAGCGGGACGCGAGGTTTGGGGCAGACGCCAAGAAACCAGCGTTTCATGGTTAGATCTCTAGGTTGAAAACATAAAACATATGATTAAATAAGTAAGGCTTATGTAATATATATATAATATTTAAAATATGATATATCTTTAGGTTGATAACATATAACATATGATCATCTCTAATATGTAAGTATATATTATGTTGATAGATTGATTAATTTGATTCTATTCGGTTGGATAGCTTAGCTAACTGGATTTGGCTTAGATAACTGGATTTGATTGGAGTAGTCGATTACATTACATAGATTCACATGATATGTATATAACATGTTTCTTGACCGGACCATTTGATGAAGCTAATTTTCAATCCACATGCCCCAAAAAAGTCAGTCTCTATATGTCTATGGCTTTTTCATAGGTTTTTTCCCATCTTTCCCCTGGTTTTTCGGATTCCAATTCACGCGCCGCGACCGAAATGGCGCTTCAAGGTGATGAAGAAGATGACAAAGCCCGACCCTCCATCCAGGGATGTAACTTGGTGGGTTTTTTCTCAGTGGCTCTTCGCAGAGCTTTTGGCTGAGCATCAAACGGCCATGGGGATATGAGTTGGTTGATGTGTGGATAGAACTCTTAAATGATGGCTGGTTGATGATTAGTTGGGAGATTAGTTGTGGATATATCCCATTTTGTAAACAAGGGGATTTTAATATCCCAAGAACAGGGAATCCGTTTTAGCCAAGCAGTATAATGCAATGACCAATGACAGGAATTTTGAACACTGCTAAATTGCCATGGAGCTTTACAGTGATGATGATGATGATGATGATGATGGTGATGGTGATGATGATGATGATGATGATGGATGATTATGGATGATGGATGATTATGGATGATTATGGATGATTATGGATGATTATGGATGATTATGGATGATTATGGATGATGGATGATGATGCATGATGATGATGATGATGATGATGGTGATGGTGATGGTGATGGTGATGGTGATGATGATGGTGATGATGATGATCATGATGATGATGATGTTGATGATGATGGTGATGGTGATGGTGATGGTGATGGTGATGATGGCAATGGCGATGGCGATGGCGATGGCGATGGTGATGGTGATGATGTTTGATTGATTGATTGATTGATTGCTTGCTTGATCAATTGATTGATTGATTGATGATAGAAGATGATGATCATGATGGTGATGGTGATGGTGGTGGTGATGGTGATGGTGATGGTGGTGATGGTGGTGGTGGTGGTGGTGATGGTGGTGGTGGTGGTTGTGGTGGCGGTTGTGGTGGTGGTTGTTGTTGTGGTTGTGGTTGTGGTTGTGGTTGTGGTTGTGGTGGTTGTTGTTGTTGTTGTGGTTGTGGTTTTTGTGGTTTGGTGGTTTGGTGGTTTGGTGGTTGTGGTTGTTGTTGTTGTTGTTGTTGTTGCTGGTGGTGGTGGTGCTGCTGCTGCTGCTGAGATGTTAGCTATACATAGTAATACCAATGAATGATAAATTTGATTTAAAAAGAAAAGACAACATTTGATAATCACAAAGCCATTTGGAGTTTGAGCATTTGTTTGGACTCATGGAGTTTTGCATTTTGAGGGCTTGGTGGTGCATGGAGGTCACATCCTTGAGGCCCATTAGTGGAAACCCTTCGGAATACCAGCTATACAATTTTATACTATACATGATGGGGAAAAAAAAACATGTTTCTGATACCGGAGGATATCTGTGCTGGGACATGAATTAAGGGCTGGAACTTTAGTGGTTGCCGACAGCAGTTCTCAATGTCCGCACCATCTAGTTGCATAGCTGACATCTACAACCGATGCAACTCGTCCAAGATCCAAAAAAACACCGAAGTATCAATCTTTGAACGAACAATACCAATTCGTCAAAAGTCTTTCCCAAATCATACAAATAATTCCGAATCCAGCTACATCCTGACATAAAACATTTTTTTCTTTGGCCGAACCGAACCCAAAATGGCGGAATACACCAAACCTTAACTGGTCATTCATCGTCATTGTCATCATACATGGAGTATATGAGGTCTCGAGGACAACATGGAGCCGGCCGTGTTCCGGAACGTGCCGCTCTTCAGTTGCTGGGTGGCAGTGGCAACGGGTGGCTTTTGAAAAAGTTGAGAACACCTGGATCTGGAGAAAAAACACATAGATGGTTTTAAGGTGTCATTACTGGTAATTATACCATATTATACCTATGATAATCAATACTCTGCTGTTTTCGGAGGGACTGAAGACAATTGGTTTCCTCTACAGGTGATTGGGGTCAGATGCGTCAGGCGATGTTGGGGGGATGGGAAGTGAATTTGGCCCTATTGGCCCTATATGTTTTCCGGCTCCATCGAGGATTCCGATGTTCTGAAACTGCCCAGGAAATACTTAAAGAGAACAGAAACTGGAGAAGTCCATCCTAAGAATGGGTTTTAATATGTTCGCAGTTCTGGATGTTGATGTTGGGTGCAAGCTCTTGTTGCCTTGTTGAAGAATCGGAAAGGAATATGAAGAAATGGGTTGTACCATGGTGTACCAGTCACGCTGGGGGCATCATCCCTGCTCAAACTTGGCCTTGAGGTGGTTCCAGACAGATCGGACAGGTGAAGGCCAAGTTTAAGGCAAACTTGGGTCAGCTGCTGGGTTTTATCATATTTTAATTACTTGCGATCTTGCGCCAAGCTCTTGGAAGACAGATCCATAGCAAAAAAACAACCAAATCCCATAAAATTGCTGGTGAGCACCAATCTTGCTTGCGGTGCATCGGTGGCCACCTCCGGTGCTGGCCGGCCTTTGATCCCAGAGCCCGGTGCTTCACAGAAAAACTGGTTCCCGGTGCAGCAGCGGACGTTGGTCACCAGCGAGATGATGAAATCGAATGAATTCTCATGTGACTTTTTTATCAGTTGGAAGTCGAAATCCTGATTTGTGGTTGGTTGAAACTCCATTCCGTATACCCTCTGGTAAACTAACATAACTATGGAAAATCACAATTTTTAATGGGAAAACTCACTATTTCTATGGCCATTTTCAATAGCTATGTTAAATTACCAGAGGGTAACATTTCAGTTGGCATCATGTTAAATCTTCATGTGATCCCCGGTCATGAAACATCCCCGGTGAAGCCGGCAGGTGATCTCCCCTCCCAACAAGAAGTGGATGACGGCGAAGGAAGTGCCTCGGGTGCAGCCGATTTTTTCGTTGGAGATGGGGAGGTCGTCAACATGACTCGGTGCCGAGCGATTTAAAAAACACATATATATATAGATTGGATAAGGCTGGATTATATTAGATTTGATTATATAGATTAGATTAGATCAGATGTCATTATATTATAGATAGATAGATAGATAGATAGATATACATGGACATGGACATGGACATGGAGAATCAGAGAAAGATGAGATGAAAATGATGTCATGAAACAAGATGAGATACTGTATATAGATGTATACATACATGCATGCATACACACCTACCTACATAATTACATACATACATACAAATACGAATACGAATACAAGTGCAAATACAAGTACAAATACATGCATACAAAAACATACAATACATACAAATACATACAAATACATACAAATACATACAAATACATACAAATACATACAAATACATACACATACATACACATACATACACATACATACACATACATACACATACATACACATACATACACATACATACACATACATACACATACATACACATACATACACATACATACACATACATACACATACATACACATACATACACATACAAATGCATACAAATGCATACTTACACACATAAATACAAATACATCCACATATATGCATACATGCATATATGCATACATACAGACATACAGACATACACACATACACACATACACACACAGACATACATACATACATACATGCATGCATGCATGCATGCATACATACATACATACAGACATACATACATACATACATACTGTACAAACAGATACACTTACATTTCGTACAGACAAATACACATACATACAGATATACATACATACAAATAAATAGATAGATACATACATACAGACATACAAATACGTACGTACAAATACATACATAGACAGACAGACTTACAGACATACCTGCCTACGTACGTACATAGATACATACATCCATGCTTCATGCATGCATTGATACATGCGATACATGCAATACATGCAATACATGCATATGCGTGTGTGTATGTGCAGTTATTTGCATACCAATACATGTATCACATACGACCTTTAACTTGAGTATAGTGGTATGTACCACAGCCTGCTTCCTTGTGGCATGTGCTGATGACTGAGTTGTATTCAGATCCAACAGCAAGACTTGCATCATTCAAACCCCATCATCACCCATGATCCAAAACACATCAGGTATCAGGACCATGAATAAGCACACAATGCCTTCATAGATCAACGGGAGAATTGTGAACCATTCTCTTGAGCACAGATCCTCTCTGGCACTGTCCAGTTTTGTCGAACGGTCAGCGACCGAAAACATATTGGTTTAGCTTCGTGCCAAGGCCAATGTTGAGGACAAGGTGCGGGCTGCTTATGTTTGTCAGGGTTGTTTGGATTGCTTCGACTGTGATCTAGCTGCAGTTTCAAGGACTTCCAGTATCTTCCAGTACTTGCCATCCCGTGAACTCTGCAAAGACGGTTGTCTCCTGCAATTTCATGGTGATCCTCAGGGTTTGAGACGAAAAATTGTCATTTCATGTAATGTAACTATTCAGACGGGTGAAAATTTGGCCCATACCCAGTAATCCAGATGATAAGCATATTGGCTACTGAAAAAACAATATTACAGTATGTTAGATGCTTGTTATGAACCCCAATTATCCTAGTTAGATGACAGCGGTCATGTTTGGCCAGGTATTTTTCAACGAACAACTTCTGCGGAAGCGCTTCAAGATCGATCAGCCTCACTCCTTGCGGGTATCTGGTGCTGGATGGGCGGTTGGCGGTTGGCCGTTTGGATGATATGATCATCCCGGTATCCCATTGGTAATCGAATATACCACTGATACACGAATCATCAGAATTTGGAAGAGGACAATTATCTTTGCAGATTGTCGCTTCTTATGATTCTTGGTCATGTTTCTTCACCAGAGGCTACATGATTAATTTACCCTCTGGTAAATTAACATAGACCCTGAAAACAACCCATGTTTAGTGGAAACTCATTTTCCAACCCCGTTTTCTACCAGGGTCTATGTTAATTTACCAGAGGGTATATGTTCAGTGTTTGAAACATATCAAACATATCATAATTCTTGGATGGTCGACTCAGTCGACTGAGTCGACGTCTCGTGCGTTTCGTTGAGGTACGCACCTACATCATTCGAGGCCTCAATGTGTCTGGAGTGTCTTGCCGGGACGACAAAAAATACTGGGTTTATACTGGGTTTATGTGGGGGTTCTGCTGGGTTTTGCATGGTTTTCTCTACACTTTCCAGGATTTTGCCTAAAGTGAGTAGATTAGCAGCTGATTTGCGCGGGACATGTGATTCATTTCCCGAAGCAGTTCTGCTTGGCAGTTCAAAAAGGCCTAAAGTGAGCCACGTGACGTTGTTGGATTCTGGGAAATGTAGAGCCAGGCTACAAAGCCCACTTCAACTGGTTTTGAACCAAACCCCTTGATGTCTCTGCTAAAGGTAGATTATCATAGGATATCATAGGTAATTCATGTCTATTTCCGACAATTCAAAGGTGTGACAGTGACAATTCCCCGGTGCCATCTGAGACTCAATCTATCTCGATCTCGTGACTTAGGCGATCTCCGGGTATGGCAATCCATACTTGTACTTCATGTACGGTGCGCTGCTCAGAAGCTGCAGCTGATTCGGTCTTCAGTTGATCCCATCCCCCTAATATGAAAAACGGCCCCTAAATGGTTCCAATTATGTCTTAATCTTCACTAAACCATGTTTTTTGATGTTTTTTGGTGTGTGTTTAATATTAGGGTCAAGGGATTATCATCCTTAAGTTATGACTTGACATTATTGTTTTTAGACCTCCAAGCTATTAGCCATCCACGTGCCATCCAGGGTATTGGGATTTGTTTGAAAATGGGGGAGCAGAAGTTCCAATGGATTTGCATGGACTTGCCCATTAAAGTAAGATAAAGTCATAAAGTAAGATAAAGTAAGATAAATGGCCCAATCAAAATGGCCATACATTAAAGTAAGATAAAGTCATCATTCAAGTCATCATTCCTGGCCATTTCAAGTGAAGGAGATCGAAGGAAGTAAAAATGCAGATTCTCTCCCAAGCAAAATGTAGAATCATCAGCAACCATGTTGGGAGAGCCTACGAAGATCTTGGGTTTGTGCAGTTCCAATTACAGTTATGATACCCTCTGGTAAACGTTTACATAGCTATGGAAAATCACCATTTATAGTATAGAAGTGAGTTTTCCCACAAAAAAATGGTGATTTTCCAGTTCGTGATGTAAACGTTTACCAGAGGGTAGTGCCATAGATGCCATAGGCCCATAGGGCTCCCAACTTATCGGGGCCCGGGTCCCAGGTGCTAACAAGGTGTCGTTGGAGGGACATCGACAGATGCAATCAGTGGAGCCTCGATACTTCCGCACCGAGGCAGCGGGTGCACATAACTCCGTGGTCCAAAAGGTGGTTATACTAACCACATTGTTTCAGACGAATCAATATTGTACATATCTATGAATCTATGATTATGTGCGTGTCTATATATATATTATAGTATATATATATATGTGTGTGTTTATATATATATGTGTGTGTGTGTTTTATTATTTATTTACTTATTCATTTACTTAGTTATTTTTATTATATATATATACATAGATATGTGTACAATATATATATGTGTAAGTGTATGATTTTATATGTGTGTGTAAGTGTATGTCTTTATGTAGGTACAGAACAATAGAAATGAGTACGTAACCAAACTATGATATTGAATGATCACATGTCAATACATATGTATATACAATACATATGTATACATATATATATATATATACATACATGTACATGCACAGATTCACCGATATAGATATATGTGTGTGTTCATAAATGTGCATTGCTAAACGCCCTTTTTTCGCTTAACGATTGCAGTAACTTCCAGCCGCAAACAACGAAGCCAAGAAGCTTTTATGTTTTGGTTCAGCGGCCCATGCATGGAATATCATCATCATCAATACCACCCTGGAATAGACAGGAAAAATGCCCAGGAGTTTAGATGAATTTCCGGCACGGACTCCTGGGGGATGATCGAACCCTGTGAATCCAAAAGCCGAAAGCCACCTTCGTCAGTTGCATACTGGCGAGACTGTCATGCTCCAGCATGTCCACTTGAAACCCACGTGTAGCCCTGCTGAAAACCCACGGAACACCAAAAAGAATGGCATAGTATGGCTAAAGGTCGGAATTAGTATACAATTGCCTGCAAAATTTAGCCACGTTGAGTATTTATCCATTCGTGTTTTAGAGGATTTGTAATTTTGACCCATTCCTCGAACGAAATTTTGGGCCATGAAAGGTGCTTTTTTTGTTCAGTCGATGGCCAGGAAGCGGACATTCACTTGCCCGAACAGTGCCTGAGCTGATGTCAAAGCTTTGGGGATCCCACTGACGAACAATGGAGGGATCAGACAAACCCAGGAGGAAGATTAGACTTTAACCACCAACACTGAATATATATATATAGTTGTACTGAATAGTGTACTGATATAAGCGGGAAAATCACCGCCAATGCTTATTGTTTTCTACATTCTTCTATGGGTCAACTCTTTTCCCACTGACAATATGATGTGTGATTCACCAATACCGAAATACTACAAATTGGACCTTCAGTGATTCGTGTAGTAACAAGTTTGAGGAGCAGCAAATGAGGACCCCAACAAAACCGGATGCTTTGATACTGAGGATGACAGGATCTGTGGTCCCATAAGTATTCCTACATTTTCATACATTTTCTATTTAAGCCATAAGTAGGTCCCACTACGACTTGCTTCAGCACTCTCGACCGTCCGGTTTCCTGGTGATCTCAGTGATCTCCATTTCCAAAATCCAGGTCCTACTTTGAGATTGGGCTCTTTGACTATCAGGACAATGGTGAGGATTTGCTGATCGGCAAAAGTGTTCTGGATCTTGAAGACAGGCCAGGGTGGCAGGGTGGTGGCTTAGACAACTGGGTTACTCTGCATTTTGGCCAACCAAGTCACGGATTTGTCAGGTGGGTTAGGTTGCAAGTCATCCGCCCAGCACCTCAATTTTGTGCAGGTACTACACCAGGGAGTACAAACTCATGATTCAAAACAGAAAGGTGCCGAGATGCTGGACATGGGATTCGAGGAGTGAGGGAGTCGAGGGAGTGATCTTTTGTGCATGAATAGAGTCATGAGAGAGAGAGAGAGAGTGCCAAGATGTTTGAGTACACCCAAAAACACCTTACATGCCTGACATGTAAACCCAAAAAAGTGCACTTCCGCAATTTGGAAATGATGATCCAAAGCATTCCAAAGCCAACGTTCGAGATTCAATGTTGATTTTGAGGGGTAGCAGATACGTAGAGGCTGGGGTCAAGGGAGGGGACACCAAGGACCACATACTGCTACTTGAATTATTTTAAGACATGGAGACATCACCTGATGAGCAGATTCACTTTGTCTGATCTTTTTTTGAAATAATATCAGCTTTCCCCAAACTCCCATGGTGTATCATCATGTTCCATCATTTATGATCCCCAAAATCCTGTGGTTTTATGTTGATGTTCCATCATTTTCCCATCATGTTCCGTGCGTCTTTTTGGTGCCCCTTTCGACGATGCATCCCAGCGCTTCAGCTCAGCGCCTGCTATCCATGCTATCCCAGGTGCCCATTGAATACCGACCCTTGATGTGCGAGTCCATCGATCCCAACACGCGAGAGATCAGTACGATTTCCAAAGGCCGCGAATGCCCCGATTTCCCATCGCGAATGGTGATGGATGGTGAATCATGGTGAATCATGGTGAAGGGTGAAATGGCCATTTGGAGGTACCATTTTTCCATATTTTTGGCCTATTTTTGTAAGGGACCTATTTTTGTAAGGGAATATCCCCAGAAAATATAGCCTTATATGGTACTAACGTAGCTCCATTTTAGCATCCTGAAATCCCCATTGATGAATCATGTTTTTTTTAATGGCTAAATGATGCTAAATGTATGTGATTAACCATCATGGATAACCATTAGGGTAACCAGTCTATATAATGGTGTTTTTTTGACATTCTAGTGATTCCTGGTTGGTGGTTTGGAACATGGCTTTTATGACTTTCCATTCAGTTGGGAATGTCATCATCCCAAGTGACAAACTCATATTTTTCAGAGGGGTAGGTATACCACCAACCAGATGGTGGGTAATGGCTAAATATAGTGGCTTAACAATGGATTCCATGTATGTCAAAAAAAAAATGTATCATGGAAATAGTACCACTTGGTCATCAGTTCCACGGTTAGGTTTGATGATTTTTCGAAGCAAGAAACATCATGAAACATCCATTTCATCCATTTCGAGGGATTTCCCGGCCCGCCATGTGTGGTTCCCGGAGAATATGTGAAAATCATGTTTTTTTACAATGAATGGAGAAACTACTGATACTACCCCGAAAAAAAAAGTAAAAGTGTAATTGTTTGATACCAATGCAGAAACTATGCTATCCCAAGTGAAGATGATTGTTGCAGGGTAAGTGGATCTACTGGAGATTGGAAAATTCCAGGATGATGTGCAGATTTGTTTGGTATGAAGCAGTTTGATCTTAAATGAACTGTTTATCCAATTATGTTGACAAAGTGTTGGAACCAATCAAGTGTTGTTTGTTACATTTATCCAGGTCATGATTGAACCTGGTTGAACCATTTTAGTGTTCATTTATTCCACTATGAACCATTCATGCATATTTGTCCAACTATCAATGGGTGGATTATACTATAATTAATTCATAGATGGTTATTTATCCAACTATTCTAGCATATACTCTCCAACTATCCTATCTTCAGTGAACTATTTATCAATTCACCGGACATATTTCACCAACTCAAATCACATAAATCACACAATAAATCACATCAATCAGCATTTTTACTAGGTAATATCCTCATTTTTACTAGGTAAATCACCATTTTGTACACTCTTCCCATCTATAAATGGACCATCACGGACCATCATAAAGGACCATCCCTCCTCGAGAGGCTCCTTGGAGATGTGGATCGAGCTCTTGGACACCACCACGGCGGCAGAAGTTCCAGCGACCCGGCGGCACCGGTTCCGGCGGAACGGCGCCGGAACGTTCCAGCGGTTTTACCCTCTGGTAATTTAACATAGCGAACTGGAAAGATCCACCCATTTTGTAGCTGGGAAAATCCACTATTTCGACTGGGCCATTTTCAATAGCTTTTTGTAAACGTTTACCAGAGGGTAACTCCAAAAATGATGGGATAATGATGGGAACAGGTGGAAAAAAACAAGATTGGGATAATTTGAGAAAAAAGTTGAGTCATGATGGGAAGCTAAAGGCTGATAGATGGTGATAGTATTGGAGGAGTGGCCAGGTTCAGCATCAATAGGTCAGCCTGCTACCTTGGTATCTATGGAGATTAACATAGATTAACGGATGCATCACATTCCCAAGCATCACAGAAGTCTGAGATACAAGAAAAATGTGAGTTTCTGAATATCAAAACGACCATTCAATTCACTGCTACTTAGCTACTTGAGACTTCCATACTCACGCGGAAAAGATGAATTATTGAGCTCATGCTCGAACTGAAATTCGTGGGAGAAGTGAAATTGGGCTGCCCCCATGAGCCCCCAGTAAGATCAATAGATCTGTTTGGGGTATACCAAATTTTAAGGTGAGTTGAATCACAGGGTAGACTTCAACAAACGAAATGAACAGAAGTCAACGAATTACCCATCCATCCTAGCAACAACGGCTGAATTTTCTCATCAACCGCGCCTTAGATGAGTAGTTTATAACTTAGGGTGTACACTGCCAGCATTTCCATAAGCCACTAATAGTACCAATGGACAATAGTGGCTTAACAATGAATATACAGTGTATATAATGTCAACCCTGGATGAATAAACCCCTAGGTTGTTTAATTGGGGGGATACCATTTAAGTATCAGATGACATGACTATTTGGGGAGTACCCCCCTAATTAATAAACCATGGTTTATTAATCCGGGGTTGACATTACACTGGGAAAATCATCTATAACTGGGAAAATCCGAGGTTTTAATGGGAAAATCATCTATAAATGGGCCATTTTCCATGGCTATGTTAAATAACCAGAGGGTAATGACGAATATGATTTCAAAGAATAGCACGTTTTTTGTAGGGTATCCAACATTCACAATCTTTGGCGCCCGAAGGTGAGTAAACTCCTCCAGCCACCTGCGATGGAAGTGCCTGGTGTGGATATGTCATGATCTGTCATGATATGTGGATGTGGCTCAACATAGGATACCCCCACAAAAAAGGATGCTTAATAGATGTTCATAGGCAAGGAAGACTAAAATCTCTGGTGAGGTCTTGAATTTTGACCCATGCCCATGTCATACTTTGCCTAGGTGGATCAAGATTTCATCCAACTAGATACATCTTCTGCAGATTTCTCCACGAGTTTGCATGTCTTTATTTTTTGTCTGAAACTGGACCGACAAACAGGAAACTTCTGGGGGTTGTAGAAGTGATTCTATGCCGAGCTGGTCGAGATGACCATTTTGGTTCTCAAGATCTGCGGGCAATCAGAGTCTATTCAATTGCTCTTGTATTAGCATGTCTTATCATTTATCATTATATGTACTATACCATACTACATTATGATATTTGTTGATACTACATTAAATCATTCTATGTTATGTTTACATCTTATATGTTATATTATATTATATATTATATATTATGTATCATACGTTATATATTATGTATTTTATATTATATGTTATACTATATATTATATATTGTATAGTATATATTATATTGTATATACTATATAGTATATAGTACATATTATATAGTATTTATTATATAGTAGTTATTATATAGTATTTATTATATAGTATACATTATATATTACATTTTATCTATTATATACTATTATATTGTTATTCTATATTTAAGTTCATATATTATATATTGTATAGTTTGATTTATATACTATATTCCTTTGTTTACATTATATGTGATTTAATTTTTATTATACATATCTTACATCAACTATTATTTAATATACATTGCATATTTGTTTATTACTGTTTTACTTTTTATGAATTCAGTGTTTTCTATTATGTTTTTCCTACTATGTATTATGTATTATTTATGTTATAATGTATATTATAACATATATATATATACACATTGAATGTATTATATTCTATATTATATATGTTATGTACTATATATATATTGTTTATAATATATAATATATATATATATACTATGTATATGTTGTTGAATACAGTATATTGTTTGTTTTACATGTTACTTATTGTGTATTTTAAGTATTAATTATATATGTATTTACTGTAGTTGATATGACATGTTTTGATTTGTTTTATCAAAGGAAGTTTCATGGAGGAAACTCCGAGCTACCGACTTTCGCATGCTCACTAGCCCAAAGATCATTGTGTCCAGTTGGCACGTGCCTTAAGAGATCATGAAGTCACATTCTCACCAGCCCAAAGATCATTGTGTCCAGTTGGCATGGGCCTTAAGAGATCAGGAAGTCACATTCTCACTAGCCCAGAGATCATTGTGTCCAGCGGGCACTTGCGTTAAGAGGTCATGAAGTCACATTCTCACTAGCCCAGAGGTCATTGTGCCCATTCGTCTCCAGTTGGCATGTTCTCACTAGCCCAGAGGTCATTGTGTCCAGTGGGCACTTGCGTTAAGAGATCATGAAGTCACATTCTCACTAGCCCAGAGATCATTGTGTCCACGTGTCTCCAGTTGGCATGTGCCGTAGAGGTAGTAGAGGTAGACTAGAGGTAGACTAGAGGTAGAGTAGAAAAGACTAGAGAAGAGAAGCGTAGAGGTAGAAGTAGAGCAGAGTAGAGGTGTTGTGTCTTGCGTTTCAGATTCTGATTGTGTTTGCAGGCCATTGTTGGCAGATCGCATTGGAACTGCTACATCATGATCATCATGGATGCGATTTGAATGTTAGGATTTGCACGAAACATTGTGTTTTTTCGGGTCAACGGAGCTTCCGTTGCGGAGAAAAGTTGGCTCGCGTGCGCGACAGGTGCGGGCGTCGTCGCTTTAGCGTGGAATCTTGCTCGAACTGCGCGCGCAATGTAACTGAGAGTTCCAGTTGACTTTTTCTCTTCTTTGTTGATGCTGTGCTTTTGTGCTTGCATGTGTTGAGATACTTTGTGCATTGGAACTGGTGCATCACAGCGATGTGTTCTACAGTAGTGTGTTGCAATTCTATTGTCCTGTGCAATTCAGTCTGCGCAGGTCGCAGTGGAATGGCTGCGCCAAGGCTTCTTGAAGGGTACTTGTTATCCAGTAGCGTATTGCGGTTCTGATTGCGTTTTGCAACTCAGTCTCGGCAGATCGCAGTGGAATGGCTGCATCCAGGTTACTCGCTGCTGCGGCTGCGTGCGGAATACTACATAGTGTGTTTTGCAGTTGAGGGTCGTAAATTGTATTGTAGTGGCTGCATGAAAGTTGCGAATGGTGCTTTGGCAGCAGATTTTGTTTCATTTTGGTGCTGATGATCTAATGATGTTGCTTTTAAATTTCCTTTTAAAAAGTGCTTCATTCAACATCGTCGTTTTTCCGCTTGGGCGTCGAGATCCGGTTTTGGAGCTGCAATTTGCGCAGCCGTTGTGCGTAATTCTTTTGTGTTTTGCAACTCAGTCTCGGCAGATCGCAGTGGAATGGCTGCGTCAAGGTTCGCTGCTGCGGCTGCGTGCGTAATATTTTTGTGTTTCCCAGCTGAGAGTCGCAAATCGCATTGTAATGGCAGCATGAAAATTTCGAAAGCATACTTTTTTCATTTTGGTGCTGATGATCTAATGATTTTCCTTTTAAAATTCCTTTAAAACAGTGCTTAAGAATCGTCGTTTTTCCGCTTGGGCGTCGAGATCGGTTTTGGAGCTGCAATTTGTGTAGCCGTTGTGCGTAATTCTTTTTTGTTTTGCAACTCAGTCTCTGGCAGATCGCCGTGGAATGGCTGCGTCCAGGTTCCTCGCTGCTGCGGCTGCGTGCAAAATACTTTTATAATGCCTTTTGCAGCTGAGAGTTGTAAATTGTAAAATGTAGTGGCTGCATGAAGGTTGCGAACGGTGCTTTGGCAGCAGATATTTCTCAATTTTGGCGTATCCTGTGTAGCAGCTTCTCTGTGTAAAAGTTTGCTGTGTGTAAAAGCTTCTCTGTGTAAAAGCTTCTCTGTGTGAAAGCTTCCTGTGTGTAAGAGCTTCTCTGTGTAAAAGCTTGCTGTGTGTAAATGTGTAAAAGCTTGCTCTGTGTGTAAGCATCTCTGTGACAGGAGGGGAGAGGAGTTGAGATGAGCTGAGAAAGAGGTTAGATGAGTTGAGCGGAAGTGAGAAGAGGTGGGAAGAGTTGAAGAGGTGGCAAGAGGTGAGAAGAGTTGAGACGGGCCGAGGCGAGTTCAGAAGAGTTAAGACGAGGCGGGCAGAGGTGAGAAGAGTTGAGAAGAGCAGGGAAGAAAAAGAGTTGAGCTGAGGTGGGAAGAGATGAAACCAACTTTGAGAGCTGTTGAAAAGAGTTGCGAAAATTGAGAAGAGCTGAGATGGTCTGAGAAGAGATGAGACATGGTGGTCACAATTGAAAAGGGGTGAGGCAAAGTGACGACGAATTCACAGAACAGAGTTGAGAAGCTGTGAGGGTCCGCTGCATCTCCTATGGGCAAACCTTGTCTTTGGATCCTATAGCGTTACACTTCTTAAACCTGAAAACTTCCGCCACCCGCCTTGCGCGGGTTCTACTTGTATATAGCTTTCATTTTTCATATATTGTATATTATTATGTATATGCTTTTGTATTTTGTGTTTTTATATATTGCACATGTTTTTTCAATATGTGGTTTTTGTTACATATGATATTAAGATATTGTATCATATTATATTTTTTTGAGTGATGTTGTTGTTGGAATTGTTTTCACGTAATTCCATCTACTCTCCATTTCTTCTACGTGTTTTTTGAACCACACTTGTTCCGCAAGTTCCGTGTGGTTGCCATGGCTGAAGCGAACAAACGAAGTCAGGTATGTCAGACTTTCAGGTTGGGTAACGTAGGGATTTTCATGATAAATGCTAATTTTTCTTAGAAGGGGAGATTCCCTCTGAACCAACCAGGTTCATTAGATAGATGGATGGATTGATAGATAAACGCAATAGGAATATCCCCTGGCACTACGATCCCAAAACGTCAACCAGCAGTGAGCGGCACGCCGCTCAGGTGGAAATTCGCTTGATTTGTTGGACCGTTCACGACTTGCAGATGAGGATGTGCAACCTAGCAGCCATAGAATTGGGCCCCTGCGGTGGATTGGTATGGAGTGATCCAAAAATACGGATTTACCCCCAGATGTGGCAATTTATGCATTATCATAGGGGACATGTTATTTTGATGTATATGTTCATGTATATTTTATTGATTTGGTGGAAGTCAACACACATACATTTGACTTCGTGTATGGGTCACGTTGCCACTCTGTCGAAACGAGCCACGAACCACGAGACCCGGTAAAATGGGAGCATTTTGCACCAGGGTGTTTGTTCGCTTTTCCTTTAGTAAACCATTCCTAATTAATGCGGGATTATATTAGTGGCTGAATTCTATGGTTTATGGTAGATGTAACTATAGTGGGGTTTTTAACGGATTATATACCAACAAACATAATTGGGGGGCACCATCCTTTACGTTAACAGTGGATTATGTATTACCCATAGTACCTAGGGAAACCTAGCAACCAACTAGCAGAATGATATGTCGGATATGTTTTTACTGGTTTATCCTACTTTAGACCCATCCACTGATGATTTCACCTATTTGAAGTTCTTCAATTTTGACCCATAGCATTCCTGTGTTTAGATTGGAGGATCTGGCAGCCAACAACTTGAGCAGTGGCAAAGCCCGCTTCTGCTGGGATCTATTGGGGTGAAATTTTATACATTTTTTTACTATTGCGGGCACAAGCATCAATGGATAACGGAAAAAACATTCCAAGATGCCCTTCGACCATCTTTGACCATCTTTGACCAATCAATATTTGTTTGATGATCTTGATATCCATTGCAGACCAATTCGCATTGTTTCTGCCGGGATGTGTAGGGATGTTCTCTCCGTGTAAAGTCTCGACAGTGCTGCAGGCATTGATGACTACGGCGACCAGCGTGAAAACGTGAGCATCAGAGCGCGATGCTCCATCGACTGCAGAACCTACAATGGACCTCAGCCCAGAAGCCAGGTTGTGAATAGCCAAGAGTGTCAATTTTTTCTTGTTTTCAGTGACGTCCCATGTGAAATCCACTTGGGAAGGTTCTGATTCCAGGGTATTCCAGGTCATTTGCTTCCTGGAGCTTCAGAAAATGGATTCAAGACGGGTGAAACAGTAAGATCTCCTACGATATCCGGTATGAGGCAACAAACCCATGTGTTTATCCTGTTTGAAGATTCCATTGTCCAATTAGAGTTTGTTTGAATTAATGATTTTTAATATGGTTTAATTGGTTTTACACTGGCTAACCTGGGTGGTTCATGGTTCAACCAGGAATTCCTCAAGGACCTACGAAATCCTTCATGATTTTCTTCTGTGTCATCGCGTTTGAATCAGGCATCATCCAACCAAACTAGCCACATGCCTTATTCACAAACAAGGAGAGAGGATAGAGAGGCTGAGGCTGTTTACCACTGTAGTTTATTCAATGCATATAGTTGCTAGCATCCAGTATCTGCAAGACACTATCATTTGTCTGTCCGTTTGGATCCAGTGGTTGTTCTACCGATCTATAGTGCGGCGTCCACAGTTCCGCTGCCGCTGAGGAGAGCAAGAAACGGATCAGCACGATTGTTGCGTGGGCGATGGCGAATTCAACTGGCGCTTTGTCTTCTCGCGAGTACAGGTCACCAAAGGTGTGCCCATCGACTGCTTTTTGCATCTCAGTGTTTGGGACTCTCGGCGATGGCGATTTCGCTTGTCAGATTTGTTAGTTTGGTGAGATCATATTGTGCTTTTTGGGTATTGGGTCGCTACGACGCAGTGGTTTCCAGTGCGCCACACTGTTGTTGTCATCCGTTGTGGCTGTTGCTGCAGCAGAGGGTACTATAGTGGGCTCTGGACTTAGCATGACTTAGCTATCTCGCCAATTTTGGAGTCGTAGCACCTCATCACGTAACGGGGAGCATTGAAAGTCGTGGGCGCCATGGCGGTGCAACATCCCAGGAGTATTTTGCACTAGCGCGGCCCAACATGCATCTGAACCGCAAGAGGGGTGAGGTTGACCTGATTCGTTGGCAACTTGTGGGTCCAAAAGATTGGACAGCCATGAAAGTCATACAATCCTTGCTGTTTTCATGCTGGGTTGCTTTTCTATCTTCTTGACCCAACAGATGTTAACAGATGTGAGCAATTGGATTGAAAATGATGGAAATATGGTTTGCACCACACAACTGAAGGACCTGTTGCAGCCTAAGTCAAGACAATGGTTTCCTGTACGTTGTTTTTCGCAACGGAACTAATCCATTAATTCTTGGACTTAAATCATGTTATTTCATATTATTTCATCTTACTTCCGTATTTTGGATGAATCTTCCTGAGGGTGAGGGTCCCCAGAGTCCCCAATGCGTTGTTTCAACGCGAGGTTGTGTGAGAGCTTGGTGGAGCTAAAGAGCTATGTCAAGAAGGTCTCAGAAGAACCCTGGCAATACAGTTGGTTTGTAGGTTTAGACTAGACGATCAGTTGGAGGATGGACATGTGTGCATATGAGTGATATGTGGATGTTGTTGTAAAATTTATTTTGGGGGTTCCTGGGCAATTTGGGGATAGAGATAGTTGAGGAACCCGGAACAAGATAGTAGATGTTGATAGATTTTGGTGTTGTACCAATTCCTGAGGACGGACAGAAGCCACCAAAAGGTCCGATTGATGCACACAACCCTTGGGGTTTCGCTGCACGCAAGTACTAAAGAGGGCATGATCAAGGTTGTGACATGATACATTCTAAGAGATGGGGTATACCCGAGGTAAGCCGTAAATCTGATTCTTTCTGCCAAGTCCCCAGAACTGGATTGATATAGCCAGATTTTGATGTTCCATTCCCACCACCTCATCTCAATTGATTAGTATTCTCCAGTATGAGTTTTTGATGATTCATGTATCTGCGTAAAGCTATCAATCAACCACCCCAACATATTTGTTGTAGTCTTCCCTTTTTTGGATCTGACGACCTGTACATGGTTTCACATCGTTTTGGATCTCCAGCCGATTTTCGTTTCGTGGCGCCCAGGAGCGGATGATGCTGGAGATGGAAGCTGACATGCCCTTGTCCAACGCACAGCTCTATGCGGAGATGAAGAAAGAAATGAAGGGAGCCGGAGGAGCAGTGGAGTAGGGGCTGTGTTGACATCCCATTGATGACTGGGGGATACTGCCTTTTAAATCCTTTTTACATTGGGGATATTTGGGGATTATCATAATGAAAAGGGTGTTTTTAGAGTTTTTTGGGATTTCAACCTTATTGATGTGTCCAAAGTAGTTTTGTTTTTTTCACACCACAATGATGGGATTGATCCCTAAAACTGTGGATTCTTAGATATTCTAACCATGAAAGGATAGCCATGAAACCATTGGGCCTCGCGGAAAAAAGACCAGCCAAAATGAGGTGATGTCAATCCACCAATTTGACATAGATAGGTGGGGGGATAGGGAGGTGGAATTTGCGATCGTGAAATCTCCCAAGATGAGGAAAGAGATTGTTGAGAGATGTGGGTCGCAACTGGCACGTCAGGCGTTCAAGAAAGAGGCGAGGGCGACGTTCTTTGGCCGCACACCGTCATGCTCGTTTTCTTGTCTTACCCTCTGGTAATTTAACATAGCTATTGAAAATGGTCATTTATAGTGGATTTTCCCATTAAACATGGTGATTTTCCATAGCTATGTTAGTTTACCAGAGGGTATCGTAGTCATCATCATCGTTGTTGCCAGCATCATCATGAAAGTCCCAAGCATCAACCCTGAAGGAGGTCACCCGCAGATGTCCTGCTTGCCTGTTCAGCCTCGGTTTTGTTGTCATCCACAGATGTACTGTTTGCTGACAGCCTTGTAGTAGTGACTTTGTAAATTCATGAACTGTTGAGTCTGAGAGATTTAAAAATATAAATATATATATATAATTATAATTAATTATATATATATATATGATTATATATGGATATATTATTATACATTATTATACTATCACCACCCCTTTAAGGCTACTTTTCGAGGGGAACCATACCAAAATGTAAGATACATTCTTGGGGACCCCCCTTACATGTAAAATTGGTCGCTGAACGTGCCACAGGTGTCGTTTTTGTCAGGAGGGTCTTCAAAATACCTTCAAAATGTATACATGTTCAAGGCCCTCAAAAACACCTTGACAAATGTGGCAAAAACATTTTGGGTACGCCCCCTTAAAACGCTGGTGATATTATACGATGATTTACCCAATTACGGAAGCCGCAGCTTAAAAAATCAGCTCCCGCCGCAGTTTGCGGCTCTTGGGTGACAGCCTCCGCGCCCTGAGAAAATCCGGGGATTTCTTGATGAAATCCAAACGTTGGAATCCGAGGTATCCATGTTTGCCCATTTTTGGTCATGATCAAACCCCCAAAAGTGGATCATTTGTGTCACTTAAATTCGTGTAGTGGGTCTAATCCAGCGATATCCTGGTACTGTCATTTTGTGACGATGACACTTCTGAGGAAGAAGAGGCTGTTGAAGAAGAAGAGGAAGAAGGCCGGCTGTGTTGGAAATCAGTGAGACTTGTGGACAATGGAGTTACAATTTATATTTGTTATCATATTAACTGTGAATAATTATTGATATTGATATTACCACTAGAATTTCATATTGGCATTAATATTGATATTAATAGTCATTGTGATCTTAATATCAATATGCGTATTTGATATTAAGATTAACATTGTTATCATTGTCATTATTAATCATCATGATATCGAATTTGAATAGCAAGAAAAACAGATGCTCAAGAAAAAAGTCGTGTCAAAAGACTAAAAATATGCATCACCAACAAAATCGTGAGTTCAATCAGCGATGGAATTTAGTTGGTGATCTTGGGAAATCAGGAAGGCTGGTGATATCATCAACCATCTAACCATCATGGGGTACTTCACCAGCACAGACTAACAAAATCGGGAAACAAGTGGAATCACGGGATACATCACCAGCACTGTGTGTGTGTTTTTGCGTGTGTATGCAATGAAAAGTATTTGTCGGACTCTACGACCTCCGAACAGGCCCTTGAGATGTAGCTAGAATTACTTAGATATTCCCAGTGTTTCGGGGTATTTGGACTAACCGTGAGCCTTTTGGATCCACACGTTGGCCCCAACATCCCCGAGGTGGGGGCGAAGAAGGAGAAGTGGCACCTGGAGCTGGAGTGGAGGAGAAGACCATTCCACCTGCAGCGTACATGAGCCTTTGACTCCACTGGCTTCAGTGGCTTTAACAAACCGGAGATGTCCGGATATATCAGTTAGGAAGCGACTTTAGCTGGATTATAATTCATGATAATAATGAATTACAAAAATTCAAGTTGTCTTTGTATCTATCTAACATATTGCATTTGAATTGACTTTGGCCCGCTTCTATTGTTCGATGCATGTTCGATATCAGAAAGCTACCAAGCTACCTATCCATCTGGAATGTATGCCCGGAGTGGGCTTACAATGGTTTTATAACGAAATGATGAAGTCTATGTGTACTACATGTTTTGACTTGATGCACATACTTTGATAGATACACAACATATAAATCATATTAAATCATATGAAATTTACATAGATTCTCCAATTGGTTGCTCTTTCCCATCCCATCTTCTTCAAAGCTCAGGAAGATTGTGTTGCAAGTGCTCATGCAAACAGAAGCTTGGCACTCGACTCCCCTTGGTCAACTCTTTTGTTGTTACATCATAGTCGCATCATGGGAAATCCCTACTTTGGTTCATTCAGTCACCTTGAAGATCCTATTTTGCTTGATCAAGCTTTTTCCGGTTGATTATATATATATATAATTGTTGATGGAATCCACGTATTTTGGCTGCCCAACTCCCAGTTTGTGCAGGCGGGTTTGTGTGAAAGTGGGGGGAACATACTTCCAAATGGTTGTTTGAAATTGATCATTGACCAGAGAATCTGGAGGTACCCTATCGTCAGAATAGCCCATATTTTTTCGTAAAATCCGCCCCCAGGAAGCCTCCAGTGAGAATGGCAAGGTGGGCATCGCCCGCACCGAACCCAACCGCAACCCGGCCGCAGCGGGCCATGTGCGGCTCGATTCCCAGGGCCGAGGAGGTAGATGAGCAGTCCGATGCTCAAAAAATATCCTGCGGCGTTCAGCTTTCATCTGGATTTTATACAGATTATAGAGTATCAAGGACCCATTGCAATATATTGCAATGTATTGCAATATTACCAGCTCAGCTTTATTGTTTGGGCTTTAATTTGAAAACAGCAATTTATGTCGGTCCCCAATTTTTTTCAACATGTGGACGTCGCCTGACGTGAGGTAATCCGTCGTTGCCTTATCCCAAAACTGGACGGGATTGGCGCTACTCGATGCCCACTGCAACTTGAATCAGCGCTCAAAAGAAGTGGATGGGGTGTGAACTTCCCATGCCATGGGGAAAATGACATTGCAAAATCACTGTGTTCAGTAAATAATTTCTAATATATGTGTGTATATATATATATACACATCATGTCATCATACTATCATTAAGTATACAGTATAATATATATATATATAATTATATAAATACGTAGGTGTATATATATATTATATCATTATATAATGTGTAGCTATCTATCTCTATATATATATATATGCATAAATCTTTATACATATATGTAGATTCAGAAGATACAGAACGGTCATTTCTGGCACATTCGCAGAGGCAGCGAATGTGGTGGAGAAGGTCTTGGATGTGTTGAGTCCATCGAAGAGGGGACCACTGATGACCATCATTCTATTGATGCTTGGTGCTCCATGAATTTTGGAAAATGCACCAGTCAAGGGTGGTTTTCATAGTGACTTAATGGCGATTAATGGTGGTTTAATAGTGACTCAATGGGGATTAATGGTGACTTAATGGTGGTTTAATAGTGACTTAATGGGTTTTGATGGTGACTTAATGGGGATTAATGGTGGCTTAATGGGGATTAATGGTGGTTTGGAACATGAATTTTATTTTCCCATATACTGGGAATAATAATCCCATGTGACTTTCATATTTTTCAGAGGGGTTGAAACCACCAACCAGATGTGGGATTTAATGGATTATTAGTGGATGATCAATGGATGATTAATGGATGATAACTGACGTTCTTGCGGTTGTTGGTCATATGATAAGTGGAATAAGAATGAGTAAGGGCATCGATGGTTGTCCGTTAAAGCCCCAATGGCTCATTCCTGGTTGGGTTCCACCGAAAGGATTAACCACTGCGGTTGAAGATAGCACTTATCTTGAACCATATTGAGAGTTGATAACCCCGCATTAACAATGAGTTTGGGCCCCGCTCTGAGGAGATATTTGAAGTAAACTCAAGATATTTGGAAATGCAAGGTATACCAAGTATGCCTCATTGGCTGGGAAGGTTATCACGCGACATTTTGAAGGCATCTTGAGCTTCAAACTCAAAATTCAAAGATGAAAGCAAGAAATCCATGACACGAGTACCAGCACACAGATCACTAGCTGTGGTGATTTCTGCATCTAGTCTTGCCCTTTGCATCCTTGTATAAATCATAAATATATATATATATAAATCATAGAACTAAGGATTATCATATTCATCATTATCTCCAACGTGCCCTTCGACGCAGACTTGCAGTGTGTGCCTTGCCCGTCTCAGGAGCTGGCTGGGCTAGTTCCAACCAATGAAATGCCAACTAATTATTTGGAACCAGCAATGCAATTCAAACGTACCTGAGTTTGCTAACAATTACTATACAACGTGATGTGGATTCCCTTGATATATGTTGATATATTGTTTTATTTTGTTCTTTGCAGCCATGATCCTCTCTTTACTCTTTCCTTATTTTTCTGAGACAATTCGATCAGCATGGCTCTCGCCTTTGTCTCCTGCACGGCAATATGATTTTGACGCCGTGAGCACTGTGAGCACATACTAATAAGATGTTGACAGAGAACCTAACCATAGTTGACAGTTGTCGACAGAGTGGCTTAAGCACCAAGCCGTTGCTTTGATCACGGTATAGACCAGGTTCCGTGATAGCCCATGATATCATCATCATATCCCCATGAAATGTTTGGTCTTGCTACTCCGAATTCCCCAGTCTTGAGGACAACCCAAGTGATAAACAACAGTTTTGTGCGTCTTGTTGCATGTACAATGTAACCAAATTATGTGCCAACTATTGCTGTCCCTGTCAGCCAACCGCTAAAACCAATGCATGACAGTCTGACCATCAGGTCTATCGAACCAATATGGGACCCTCTTGTTGCTAGTAAATATTCAATTGTTGATGATGTTTCCCTGCTTTTGTTTGCAACATCCCAGAGCTATTTCTTATAGCAGTGGTCACAAAATGTGACTGAAACAACCCCAGTTTTGTTCGTTGAATCTGCATGTTTGATGATGGTAAAATCGTCACGGGGAAACTGAGGTGACCACAGTCAAAGCGAGCTGCTATGACGAGTCAACCTGCTTCACCTGCAACTGCTGTGGCCCCTTTGGCCGCAGATCATCTGATGGCTTTGGAGAATGGAATGCTCCAGAGCTACAGACCTAATATGGTTATATGATGTTATATGATATTTGGAGGTTTCCTAAAATACCGTACCCCCAAATCATCCAGTTTAATGGGATTTTCCCTTATAAACCATCAATTTTGGGTATCACCATTTCTGGAAACCCCATATGGTAATATGGTAATATGGTAGACAATGGCCTTTGCGACCAGCTGTAGTCTCTTCTTTTTTTGGGCGATGATCTAATTTCACATGTGTGCTGTTGTTGTGAAATCTGGACACGAAAACGGAAACTCCGAGTTCACAAGTTTCAGGTCGAATCACAGACGAAATGACGGATGCAAAGAAGTCTCCCAGCAGCAGCTTGAGTCATGGCTCCAGGACTTAGGGGTTTCCATATTCATCGGGGTACCCTGGGTACCCTACTAGCTGGATGGTAGCTGGATGGTTGGAACTTCCACATATACCATCCCTGCGGGCCTCGTCGGCTAATCTGAAATCTCACCCCAAGAAAAGGGTGATATTCAATGGTGTTCTCATCCCAATACAGTATGGGTGTTTCTCTAAATCGAGATACCCCAAAAGCGTTGGTTTACCCACTAGGAATGATGAATTCATAATGGTTTTTGGAATTGCTGTGGAAGATCGTCACTAGGGGCCCCGTCAAGGCAAAAACTCTGCAAGTGGCGATTTCTTTTCCTTAGTCGCAGTGTGGACGAGGTGCCTAATAGGTTTTGTCATGGGCGAAAGTGGGGGGATGGGTCGATGGGTCAAAATCAATACATGGGGTATCCGCCCAAAGGGCCTAAGGGGATGTTTACAGTAGATACATATAGAAAAATGGGGATGGGTCAAAACCCTATCCCCCTGGTGAACATCAAAATAGCTGGTAAATGGATGTTCATCCCCCTAAAAATGGTATTAATAGGTATTGATCCATACCCAAATGACTGTAGATGAAAGTAGACGAATAGCGGAAATGTAAGTTCTTTGAGCCCTAATTTTCACGTGTGCCTTTGTGAGAAATAGAAAAAAGATTTTGTGGATGAAACCAGCAAAGGTTGGCTAAGCAGCCAACAAGATGAGGGGTGGTTGAGTAAGGTTAGTAGGTATGGCAGTATAATGAGGTCTAAGATGACCACTCGTTCGGAATCCCAATGGCAAAATGTTTTCCCTAGGATTGTTTTCCTGAGCAATATCCTCTGCAGTCGGAGATGACATGACTGTTCAGTCTGGAAATGGCTGGTGATACGGAAATCTATGGATGCGGAAAGCAAGTTCTTTGTTTGAAATGCCTCCCAAAATCTCCCAAACGTATGGGTCAAAAATTATTGTACCTGGAACAAAATAACGAAATGGTTTTCTCGTTTTCAACGAAACATGACTAGTCAATATGTGGTTTTTCTGTGTCGTTTGAAATGAGACTTACCCAACCAACAAAATTGTGTCAGTACAAATTCTTGGGTACACCGTATCCAAGTCATGGTTTGAGGATGGAACTTCATGTTTCTCAAAATTGGGTACCCTCTGGTGAACATACAAAAAGCTATTGAAAATGGCCATAGAAATAGTGGATGGCCCCATTAAAAATGGTGATTTTCCATTGCTATGTTAGTTCACCAGAGGGTACCCCAAAATCTTATGGATGATAAAACCATTTCACCCATTAAGATTTTGCATTTCTGGGCGTGCATACTCTCATTTCCGCACAACCCCAAGAATCATTTGTTGGTGAAATATCCTACCAATTATCTCCAATAAACCATCTGTGTAATATGTTTGATCTTATATCCACTAGTTTGGCGATAAAAACTAAACAGCCCATTTCCGAATAAAAACCAATATGTATTCCAGTGTAATAATGCAAATAGGTTATCATTTCAGCTTTATTTGTATTTACAATTAGATACATACCTTCCATATCCCCATGATCAGTTGTTGATCAAACCGGTGGTGTTCGCATGTTTGCCCCCCAGTTGCGACGGCAGGTTTGTGCGCCTCTCTCTGATTGTTCGAAGCCCAGGTTCCAACAATAACTTGACCCAAAGCCACGTTTAAGAAGTGGCAATATGGAATGACAAGAGCCATTGAAAAGAAGTGCTTGAAAAAAAAAATATATATATATATATATATATTTGCATGATATCCCAATCTGATTACCATCAAATATCCTGAATTTGCTGATTCTCGCAATCTCTCAAAGCAAATCTTCTCCCGGTGAACTAGAATCAACCGCGACGTCATTGGGAGGATGGCTAGTATGGGCAATATTCCCAAATGGACGAACTTTTCAGGCTGAT